GGGTGATAGATGAGAATAAAAACAGACCAGTTAGCCCATCATGATGAATTCATCAGGAATTAACTATAATGGTTTCCAGGGAGAACCGCGAGGAGGTTGACCTGGTTGGGTATATTGCTAGCAATGGGATTCTCAGTCTCCATTACTAACTATCTCTTTCCCCCCTGTAGAATCATGTTTCGGTTCCATAAGTCATCATAGCTTATTCCAATATCTAATATAATAAAAGATTGCTTATACTTCTTACCTGATTAATTTACAAAATCATATTTTGATAGGTCTTGTATTTTATTATTCAACCTTTTAAAATAATGGGAGTCATGAACGATCATGATTCATAATGTCCTTTGTTTCTATATCAAGTTCGTATATCAAATGGAGACACAGTGGCGCCCTCGGTGTGCTGTTAAATAAATTCAATCCGATTTTATTAATGTTGTCACCGTTATCTCGATCTTAGAAGGCGACGTTTAAGACTTTTATTATTTATAACTTACATGTTTATCTCTAATCTTTTTACGTTAGAAAACTTGGATTGTTAACCGTTACATGCTTGATTTTTTTGTTCGGAATTTAAATTGGTCCTGTTACACGTTCATGTGTTCCTAGTACCTATCAATTATAAAATAATTGGAATATTCCAAAATTTAGAATGGACGTAGTTTTCTAGGACTATATCGTCATACTCGTAGAATACTGACGGATCTATACATGTAATATTTGTCAGATCCGTCAGTATTCTACGACTATGACGATATTGTAAAGTCTACATGTTAAAGTAAAAAGTACCAGGGGATAAATATCCAGCAAAATAAAACGAGAATTGGTACAACTTTGTTTACGAAATATTGATATTATAAATATCAAATTTTGTAAACATGTTTAGATGTTTGTTTCTTAATCAAGTTGATTATGATGAAAATGTAGTTTTTTTTTTTTTTATAAAAACAACTTTAAATGTCAAACAAGCCGACGATCCACCTGATGGTAATTTATAACCCTCGCTTAAAAATATGAATAGTATTCTATATACCGCAGAATATAACTTTATGGTAGATACCCTAAGTAAATTGGTACACATGTATGACTGTAACTACTAATGAACTGTCAGTTTTCACATATTGGGTTTGCTGGAAGAAATCTCTATTGGAGATAAGCTCGCCTTTGTGCACTATTATGTTTGTTTTTACACTTCAATAACCTTTTGTGTACAATAAAGAATAAAGAATAACTTCCATTTCTGAGAAATGTTGCAGTATCTACGGATATAAAGTAATCGTTTGATATCACATTGCCACAGATAATCTATCACACTATTATGAAATGAAGAAAAAGATACATTCGACAATAAATAAAAAAATTGCTTATTTCTAAATTAACCCTTCGCACGATTTTTTTTTATTGGTGAAATAAATCAAGATGATATTCATAATCAAAATTAAAGGAAAAATGGTTAAAAAAATAAATTTGACAGCTATGTTTTTTTTTCTGCAATGGACATTAAAAAAGGTATCCAGACACGATCAACTTAAAGTGAACTTGTTCTTTTATATAATTTTTGAGCATTAAATGTTATGATGGAAATTTTCACCATTATGCAAATAAGGGATAAGAAATTATCACGTAGTATCAAATATTATTATTATTATTTTGTACATCATCATCATATCGGCTCTTAACTGTCCACTGCTGAACATAAGCCTCCCCCTTGGGGAGTTTTGCCAGTAGTAGCCACGCTTGGCAGGCGAATTGGTAACCGCAGTTAGGCTTTGGAGATGTTTTAAGAGAGACGCTGCTGCCCGTCCCTCGCCCTCCCTTAATCGCCTCTTACGACACCCACGGAGTGGTAGGTAGGAGAGATTAAGGGGTGGCCTATTTTGTATCGAGACCACACGGAATTTTGTCCATAATTTATTATAATTACTATCAATATATTGATGGGATTATAATCCCATATCTTGAACGATTATAATCGATTGCAAATTATTATTAATTAAATGCTGGACCAATCGATATTTAAATAATTAATCACCAATAATAGTGACTGATAATCCATGTTGAGACAATACTACCATCTTTACTACTGTCTATAGGCGACGGTTACCACTTTCCATCAGGTGAGCCGTCAGCTTGTTTGCCATTCTAGGTTGTATAAAAAAAAGACGCAATTTGACAGAGTAGATTAAATTACTTGCTGCATCTCGCGCTAGTACCCGCGTGAATCAGTACATAACGTATCCTGCATGCTAATTTAGAATATAACCTACCAGTGTACCAAATTCCTTTCATATCCGTTCAGTAGTTTTTGCATGACACACTAACAAACATCGTTACACAACAAATAGAATTAAATATGTGTGGTCCCGGCATAGTATAAGCCACCTCTTCGTTTCCCGCGGGCATCGTAAGAGGCGACTAAGAGAACTTAATGATAGAGGGATGGGCAACAGCGTCCCTCTTAAAACATCACCAAAAGCCTAGCTGCGGTTTCCTACCCGCCAGCTAAGCGTGGCAACTGCTGGCAAACTCCCCTTAATATGGGAAAATAATTGTTAGTAATGGAGATTGAGAATCCCATTGCTAGCAATATACACCCAACCAGGTCAACCTTCTCGCGGTTCTCCCTGGAAACAATCATGGTTAATTCCTGATGAATTCATCATGATGGGCTAACTGGCCTGTTTTCATTCTCATCTATCACCCTTCACTGGTGCTCCGCCAGCATATCCCGTTAGCGCAGGCGGGGGTTACCATACCATTTTCACCCATCAAAAAAACCCCCTTAGTGGAAAACCTTATAAAATGATTTTTTTTATACCACTGAGGTGCCAAACAAGCATACGGCCCACCTGATGGTAAGTGGTTACCGTAGCCTATAAACACCTGCAATACCAGAGGTATTACGCGTGCGTTGCCGACCCTGAAGAAACCCCTTTTGAAGAACCTCATGCTGTAGTCTCTTGGGAAAACCTCGGAATGAAATTATGTTGATGAATAAATCTATATGCCATAGATCACTTCCTATAAGTCATTATAATTAATGATCAGGCATATAGAGAATATTAATCCACATTTAATTAAATAATAACAGTGTCGTCAGCGCCCACATTCCTTGCTTCGTGTACGAGTACGCTGAAATTTATAGCTCTCTCTTAATTGAGTTGACAAAAGTCATTTGAATACGATAGTAAATAATGTCGTACGAATGGTCATTGGTGATTATTAATTAATTTATTGTTTTCTTGACTTAATTGTGTCACTGTAACATCAGGAATGCAGACTTGAAATGTTCTATTGTATTATTATTTTTTTAATTATATCTGCATATCAATCTAAAGCTTACAGTTGTTACCATAGATTAGTTAAACTTGCGATAAACATATGTTAAACCTGTTATCGCAATTTTAACTTTTTTGTACATATTCATGGTTTTCAATAAAAATGTATCAAAAATATGTTTGAATATAAACAAAAGAAACTATGTCATATTAAAAATAAAAGGTTTAAAAACTGTTTAAAATAATAGGTAATATTCCATTTTTAATAAGTAAAATACTCAAATGTCTACCAAAAACGGTTAAGTGCGAGCAGAACTCACACGTCAAGGGTTCCATACATAAATATTTTATAAACATAGATATGAAATAAAATTACTTTTATTGCATTTGTTACATAAAATTGATTCTTAATAATTGTCATTAAAGACTTTTTATAACAACTATAAAAAAAAATATGTAGCGTAGGTATATATAAGTAAAAACTACTTTTAAAATATACAAATGAAGGCTGTTCACATAATACCCCACTTGCACTAGTTTTTTTTTTTTTTATGGGATGAAAATGGAATGATAACCTGCGCCTGCGTTATCGGTATACGCTGGCGGGGCACCAGCGAGAGAAGACAAATGCGGATGAAAACCCATCCTGACGAATTCATCTAGAATTAATCACGATGACTTCTATGGCCACCGTATGGAGGTCGACCTGATAGCGTATATTGCTCGCAGTGGAGCTGCTACTTCTTACTACTAACAACCCTTTTCCCCCCACTTGCACTAGTAGGTTAATTTTGAAATTTTGAATATCCCTAGGAAAAGAAGTTAAAAACATTTTTCCCAATTATTTTCACTGCATTATATGTAGGTCAATAATATGTAAAACTGGTACAAATTACAAATCGATAGTATTAATTGTTACTGAGATATTGCGCTATGACAGACGGACGGACAAAGTTGCACCGTAAAGGCTCTTTTGTACCTTTTGGTACAGAACCCTAAAAAGCACCTCTATCACTTTCGTGTTTCTACCGTGAAGCAGTTGTGTTTGCATGGCTATGTTTCGGTTTGAAGGGTGGAATATGGCGTGAATTTACAGGGTACAGAGGAATAACACCTGAGTCTTCAGGAATAGCAACGCATGGGGGGTATCATGGGCGAAACAGTATACTCTGTTATGTCCATAGTACAGTTCATTGTCTGAAGGCGACGATTACCATTTTCCATCAGGTGAGTCGTCAGCTTGTTTGCCATTCTGAGTAGTATAAAAAAAGCACAATATTAATTGAAATAATGTCACGTTTACTGTGAATAAAACGTGCAAACAATCTCTCGGGTGCCGATTCAATTGGATCTTTATCTAAATATTAAAGCTATGTCGGCGAAACTTTAATACAAGCCATTCTTTACATACACAATACAGTTCCTAGAAGGCTAAAGTTGTTTTGTATAAATGCATGAGAAAACCTCGTTTATTTGGTATAAAAAAGTGTAATAATATATTGGCAGGCGGGTTGTCAACCGCAGTTAAGCTTTGGTGATCTTTCAAGAGGAACACTGCTGCCCGTCCCTAGACCATTACTTTCCCTTAGTCGTCTCTTGCAACACCTACGGAAAAGGGGGGGAGGGGGATGGTCCAGAATCACTCACAGGTCGGAACCACTCGGCATATTATAATAATATACTCGTATAAATTTTGTTTACGTAATTTTTGTATTGTTTCAGGCAAAACGACCGAGAACAGAGACTAATACTGATGTACCGGATCGGTGAGTCTCGCCTCTTAATACGAGTGTGGTTCTATTTAACCGCCTTGAAAGATGAGAGTTCCATATCTGATTGTACCTGTAATTCTTACCATCTTTACCTTAATATTATTAATGTGAAAGTGAGTTTGTTTCTTGCCCTATAGCGCTTTAACGGCTTAACCAATCTCTATGAAATTTGCTATACATGTACTACATGGGATGGGGAGGGATTTAGGCTTTCCATCCTGGTTAATGAACATATCCCGGTCACGCTGACAAAGTCACCGGTAAAAGTTTGTTATAAATATATTGTCAAAAACTATTTCACTTAATCTACTTATTTTTTATTATATTAACTTATCATTTCTCTACTAACATTTTTAATAAAACTACTTGTTTCATTTTCCTTCCATCCAAACCTTAAAATTTACTTTTTTTAACTGACAAAAGAAAAAAAGATAAATGAACAATTTTACCTTTCAAAATCGGATTTTAACAAGAAATCGCATCTTTAAATCTCCAATACAGAATATGTGTAACAGAACACCTATTGTGTTTCTGATACACTTCCTTTGATCAAGGCGTGATAATCGGAACCCAGAGGACCTGGGGCGTGGTCCATTTGGGGCATTATTAAGTAGCCCTTTTCACGGCAATTGTGTACTGACAATATGGGGATTACATGAGGATTAAGAGCCCTTTTTATTGTGTTTTGAAGTAGCGTTGACGTGAGCGTAATCTCTATTGATTTTATAGATGCCTAGTACCCCAAAAATCTCGATTGAAATAAATGTTTACTTATTTTAAAGATGATATATTTTTTTAATAAATAAAATGCATCTAAAAATGTAGATTACAAATTAGGTGCAGTCACATAAAATTTTAATTTTGAAGCATTTTTTTATTTCGCAATGAAAAAAGTTAATAATAATAAATAATAAAGTCAGTCAGGTGAAATGAAGTCAAATGAATCGAAAAACTTCCCTTTTTGGTAATTTTTTTTTTATACAACTTAGAATGGCAAACTATTTGACGGCCCACCTGATGGAAAGTTGTAACCGTCGCCTGTAGATACGAGCAGTACCATGGACATAACAGAGTATACTGTTTCGCCCATGATACCCCCCATGCATTGCCATTCCTGAGGACTCAGGTGTTATTTCTCTGTACCACTTAAATTAATCTCTAAAAGACGAAAGAAAAAAATTAATAAATATTTACAAATATTAATAACAATAAATTGATATATAAAATGCAGATAGGAATGTTATCGTATTGGTTGGCTACGGATTCGATAACATACATAAAATTCCAAAGCTGACGCTCCAAGCGAATACTAAGACAAATGGTTTGGTATGCAACACGCCGCATTCCGTTCACTTATTAGGTTAATTAGTGGTTAACACGGTCTTCGAGCGAGCTACACAGCGAACATCTGTTGTGTTAAAAAACGCAGAAAATCGCGTTAACGCAAAACCTCAAATATTTCAATAGCGTTGAATAAATTAGATAAACGATATACGTAAGTTGTAAAATGAGTTTTCATACAATATTTTTCTAGAGACTTGTCAGAATAGGGTTCTTCAAAAAGGGTAAAATGGAGTAAAAATAGAAAAGAATTCCAAGTAACAACAGTTTTTTTTATATACCACAAAAGTGGCAAACAAGCATAGAGCCCGTCTAATGGCAAACGGTCACTGTAGCCTATAAACGCCTGCAAATTACAGGCGTTTATACACTGTGATAATTGGTGTCATCAGACGGGCCGTATAGTTTCTTGCCATCATTGTAATATAGAAAACATTAGGACAGAACGACAAACTTTAGCTGAAATAAAAGTCGTGTAGTCACAATTATTATTTTAATATTTCAGGTGTTGACTGTCCACTGCTGGACCTTCCCCGTAGGGGAGTTTTGGCAGTAGTTACCACACTTGGCAAGCGGGTTGGCAATATCGTGTAGTCACAATATACTTCTGCATTTAATGACATTTATTCTCAACAATATTCATACTAAATTTCATCACTCATTTAAACTCCTTAGGATATAGATTTTCTAAAATCCTTCCTTAGTCCCTATCAAAGTTATATAAGAAACCAAATTTTCACATTGAAAACTTTCATATATCTATAATTGAATTAGACTATAGGTCTGTATATTTATCACTAAGTTATCGTTCCAGTTACTGTTAAAATTCTTACCGAAAAAATACTTTACGTTCCGTTGACACAACTCAAACGCGTATGTATACATCTGTTCATAGTTCAAAAATAGTGCGTTTTGACTGATATAAATCAATTTTTTAAGCCACTCCTTTGCGCGCAGTATGATTTTTAAGTTTTGACAGACAGGATCTATGGTATCGAATAGCGCTCGTTAGTTTTTTAACTTTCTTTTTTTCACACATCCTGTCCGCATTGCATTTTTTTTCTTGTACATATAGACAAAAAGGTACAAGTATTTTGGAATTTCGAACACATAAAATAAAAAAAAAATTACTTTTGCCGGTTGCAGAAAGGGACCAGAGTACCAAAGTTCTCTATCGTTTTTCTCTTAATTCATTCACTTTCCTAACTTGTCTTATGAATACATATATTCTTTCCAATGTTCGAATTTCGAATAAAAAATTTCAAATATTTTTCTAAAAACTGGTATGTTAAATTCATAAAAGACATGTGTCCTTACGTCCTAATACACGCCGTATCGCTTGCATTTGATAATGCCTACCTCCTTAACTCTACCTAGTCTATGCTATCCTAATCTTAATGCGATTAAGGTGCTAGCTGTGCCCCACGGTGTCGCCCACGTGAATCAATACACAGTATCCTTCGTTTGAAATTAGTATATAATCTACTCGTTTACAAAATTTTATTCAAATCTGTTTAGTAGAATCCGTTGTAAAATAGTAACAAACACGACGTCCATTTATCCATCTTTACAAACGTTTGCATTTATAATATCAATAGGATAATTTAAGAATTCATAAAAAAAAAACAAGAAATAAATAAATCACTTTTCATTCTATTACTTATATTAATATCGTTTATTATTAATATTATTACAGCCGTGAGCTTTCCACTGCTGAACATAAGCCTTCCCCATAAGGGGAGTTTTGCCAGTAGTTGGGACGCTTGGCAGGCGGGTTGGCAACCGCAGTTAGGCTTTTAGAGATATTTTAAGAGAGACGCTACTACCTATTTCTCGACTATTAAGTTCCCTTAGTCGCCTCTTACGACACCCTCGGGAAAGAAAGGGGTGGCTGTAATACTGTACTAATCATTAATTACTTAAAATCATCTAATACATAAACGAAATTAGGTAACTTGTCGCGTAATGAATTGTTATTAAAGTTATTTTTAACCCTTCCATTTGTCGCGGCCGCAATAAAAACACACCAGTATCATTTGGCCGACGCATCTGGATTTTTTGTCACATTTTTGCTAGTTGAAAAAAACTCGCCAACTGAAAGAATGTATATAAGTTTGACACGTGTATGCCAAATGCTTGGAATGACTGACTACTGGGCTATAGAGTTCAACTAACATAATCATAAATCAACATGTTTCTTATCACGATTTTTAAACATACTTGTTTTTTTTTATGGGTGAAAATGGAATAGTCCCTTCTACGCTATGGGTATATGCGGGGTACCAGTGAGAGTTAATAGATAAGGATGAAAACAGGCCAGTTAGCTCATCATGATGAATTCCACAAGAAATAAACCATGAAGGTTTTTTTTTTTGAATGGATGGAGATGGAATGGTATCTTATCTTATTTTCGCATATGGGGTCAGCTAAGCCGTTGCACGTCGACTCATAGGGATCTTTTGTGCTCCCCCCTGCCTTAAACCATCAACAGATGGAATGGTAACTCCGCCAACGCTATCGGTATACGCTGGCGGGGTACCAGTAAAGGATGAATAGAAATAGAGGATAGACAAGGATGAAGGAAAATCAGTTGGCCCATACATATTTTTTATCGTGATCAGTAAACATACATGGCTGTGTACCACCCTTATCTTTCCCGTGGGTGACGTAAGAGGCAGCTAAGGGAACTTATGGTGGAGAGATTGGCAACAGCGTCCCTCTTAAAACATCACCATAAGCAAAACTACAGTTGCCAACCCACCTGCCAAGCGTGGCAACTATTGGCAAAACCTCCCTTATGGGAGAGGCTATGTTTAGCAGTGACAGTTAAAAACTAATACAATAACAGTAAACATATATACTAGTTATACAAACGAAGTGACGAGTAAAAGCTAGTATATATCTAATTCTCAATAGAAAGATGCATCGAAGCGATAAATCTCCGCGTATGGCGCGCAGTATGAGTGCCCGTCATAAAATGTTATTTTTTCAACCCGGAGCGCGCCAGCCATTGTGTTTGTTTGAGGGCGTGAAGTCTCATTGTTTCCAACCTAAACATTATTAGGGGATTGTTAGAAGTGGCGAGTTGTGAACGACGCGTGCTGAAATTGATAATTGGTACACAAGAGTTAATTATAATGGGTAGTCAGTGAATTCTGTTCCTTATTGGATAGTCCGAGAAGAAAGTTAATTCGTCTCCGCAGGTTATTAGGTGGATAATATTTATTCGGGAAATTTTATAAAATAAAACCACGTATTAATCCTGTTCCTTCCTTACGGAGCCATATTTAATTTTACTTTTTTACTGAATTTTTAATATTTTTTTTTACAATAGTAATGTAAAGGTATAAAATCTATGTTTCGGATCGAAACACTAATAGCTAAAGAAAGACTTGTATTTCTTTTCCTCAGACTGTTGTTATAAGTCTAATTGCATGCCTTTAGATAAGGCGAAATGTGTAACTCATTATCATTTTTCGAGCAAATAAATTATTACTATTATTAAGACCTATGTTCAATAGTAGACATTTATAATGGTAGCAAATGACTTTTACGCGATTCCTCTTGGAAACCATCGTGGTGGTCGTAAATGTGCTATTTACGTGTAAAATTTTTCACCGCATCAACCAACATATCTGCTTCTTTATTGCCGACGTTCGGAAAAGGTATATTCCACAACTTTGCATCGTATAAAAAATAAACTTTTACGGATTTTCATTTGTGCAAATATTAATAAAATGGTAATTTATTTATATAATTAATTATTTCCATTGCCTTTTTTTGTATGGATTTATGAGTTATTTAATAGTTTATTAATAGTTAAATTTCAAAATATTCACTAGGCGAACATAAAACTAAAGATGTGACAAACTAATCACACCATATGGAATGTCACTTAAATTAGATCTCACTATTTGAACCTTTGAAGTCTTTTGTTGAACAAAATTAAAGCATTTTACGACAACTACTGAGAGTAAAAAGCGAATAGTGAAAAAGAGCTGGCCATTAAAAAAGCTTTCAATTAAAAAGATAGTCACAATGGTGCCAACGTGCTAGTATTAACCAGGATTCCGCCCCAGGGCGCTCTTTTGATATACGATAGCGTTGTTTCGGTGCAACCAAGTGGCAGCAAAAAGCAAAGTGACACTTGAAAAAGGCGCGAACTAACATAAACATGGCCGCCACTTTTATACACAAAGGTTACGGTGTTCGAACTCTATTAATAATGTTTAATATATAATTTATAATCTAAACTTCACCATCTCATTAAATGTAATAATAGATCTTTATTTTTTTTTTTTTTTGTATAAATATGATGTAGCGAATTGATTAAATTAATTTCAAGTGTTGATGTTGACCGTTTTTTTTTAATGAGTGACAATGGAATGGTAACCGCGATAACGGTATACACCGGCGGGGCACCAGTTAAGAATGACAAGTGAGGATGAAACAGGTCAGTTAGCCCATCGTGACGAATTCAACAACAATTGTTCACGATAGTTTCCAGGGGGGATCACGTGGAGGCCAACCTAATAGGGCATGATGTTGACGGTATTTTTTTTTAATGGATGATAATGGAATGGTAAACCCACCCGTGCTATCGGTACACACCGGCGGGGCACCAGTGAAAGATGTTAGGTGAGGATGAAGTAGGTCAGTTAGCCTATCGTGAAGAATTCAACAAGAATTGTTCTCGATGGTTTCCAGGGGGAACCACGTGGAGGTCGACCTAATAAGGGATATTGCTAGCAATGGGGCTGTAATAGATAGAACACTTAATAACATATGGATATCATACATGGATATATATATATATATATATATATATATATATATATATATATATATATATATATATATAGATAGCTAATAACTACTACTATTACATACTACTACTACATATTACTAGCTACTTTCTGCGAAGATCATCGAAGAACCTCCATAATATTACCAAAATGTCTGTCATTCCTGTGAAAGTGAGAGTGAAAGTTAGAAAGAGAAGGGATTGTTAGTATGTGGATTATCAGTCCCATTTATAACAATATACCCTATCAGGTCGACCTTCACATGGTCTCTACTGAAAACCATCTAGCTGAATTCCAGGTATATTCATCACAATGGGTTAATTGAGCTGCCTTTTCATTGTATCCTATCACCCCTCACTGATGCCCCGCCAGCGTATACCGTTAACGCAAGCAAGGTTACCATTTATTACCATCATTTAAAAAAAAATATTATCCGTCTCTTCTATTTAGATTTGTATGACACCACGCGATGCCATGGCATCCTTCAAAAATTAAAAAGAATAATATGTCTCTGAAAAAACAATACAATACTCTCATTTCTCCTTCACAATTGACGATGACGGTACACAAAAGTCTACCAATAATTACCTATTCGTGCCATTTACAAACTTATTGATGATCTCATATCATGTAATTGGCTCAGAAGTTATTTAATTCAATACATCACGAAATCACTGATGCCATACTTAGCTCCATGCATTATAGAGTAATTTATGAATTCGAAACAAAACCAATTTTATTTACTTTTGACTACAACAGAATATCAATGTTTGTTAATTGTGTTGTCTCTTTTGAGGGCACGGCAATAAACTGAGTTGCGACCATTTTGTTACTATAGCACACGCACGAAAGGAAAAAATACTTACATCTTTTTTTGTCTATGAAATACTTCGTCATACGTGGATACATTTTACTTTTTTAAATCGTGAATAATACTTTTTAGCCATAATTAATTTTATCACAATATAAGTCACAATGCAAATCTACATACATATAATCCAGTGTGAAAGCTTGCAAAGATATTTGAGTATTTGTACCTATATATATTACATCTTTTTTTTTTTATTTTGTATATATATTCTTTTATCTCTTTTTTTGTGTATGTCTATGACTGTTGTTATGTATGTGCTTTATCTATCTATATAGTATATAAGATTTTTTTTAATGGATGATAATGGAATGGTAACCCCACCCGCGCTATCGGTATACACCGGCGGGGCGCCAGTGAAGGATGATAGGTGAGGATGAAGTAGGTCAGTTAGCCCATCGTGACGAATTCAACAAGAATTTTCTCGATGGTTTTCAGGGGGAACCACGTGGAGGTCGACCTAATAAGGTATATTGCTAGCAATGGAGCTGTCAAGTATATAAAATTTGTATTCTATATAGTATTTGTATACTAAAGTTTTTCTTATAATTGATCGATTTATTCCTGCCCTGTTAGCAAATTTCCCATCAGGATTACCAATCGACTGTCACAAAAACATCTCATATATGATATTTTTTGCATATAATATAATTGTTTGCTTGGACACCTCTGTCCCATTCGTGTTTCTACCGTGAAGCAGTTGTGTTTGCATAGCTGTATTTCTGTTTAAAAGTTGGGATATGACAGTGATTTAACAGGTTACAGAGTAATAACACCTGAGTCCTCAGGAATGGCAACGAATGGGAGATATCATGGACGAAACAGTATTCTCTGTTATGTCCATGGTACTGTTCATGTCTATAGGCAACAATTACCACTTTCCATCAGGTGGGCTGTCAGCTTATTTGCATTTCTAGGTTGCATAAAAAAAGCATTAAAAAAAATCCTATGAGTATCTCTCAAACGTTCCATTATACCAACATTCAGAAACTGTCAAATGAATAAAACAATATCATATATCAACATTATATTTGGCAATAAACCAGAAATATTCATCGGGCAATTAACAGGTGGCGGGCCCCGGACTTTGTTTTAAACAGTTATTTACATATATTCGACTTCGCCATTAGCCGTTATGTTAATTAAATGCATGTTTTTATTCTTATCTAATAGTAGGGTGTGCCGAATTATTGATTGCGTTTGTTAATTATATTATTTTATTACAATTTATTTGATCATCCATGCTTCTGGTTGTGAATCATTATTCCATTTCAATTTATATTCAAGGAATTATTAAATTAGATTTAATTAATTATGCAAATTTTTATAAGACAGTTTTTTTTATTAATTAATATAAATATTTAAATTTATACATCGTACGTTCAGAATTTTGTATTATAAGCGTCAGCTGCGGTTTATACGGGTGCAATTTATTAAAGAAATAAAAAACGAAAAAGAAAAAAGAATTAAATTTACTTCAATTGTGGCAAAATTATACTACTGGCCCTAAATCGATAAAATTTCTATGGGATCGATCTGAAATATATCCTTTCAGATAAAAAGAAAATTTCAAATCGATTTATAACTGACGCAGTTATGAGGAATCAAACAACAAAAAAAAAAAAACACGGCAATTGGGAATCTCCGCCTTCTTTTTTAAATGTATTGAAAATAATACAAAACATTAAATTAATCTATTTATACAAAAGTTTAATTATGATGTATTTATACATGCAAACCTTCTGTAAAAAAATCTTTACATGACAGTGGAACTTGTATTAAAAAACGTTGGGTGGAAAGAAGTAAACGGAGAAATCGAGGAACGCGGAAAGTTAATTCCTTTCTTTCCATATCTAGGGAAAATAGATAAAACTTTATGTGAGAAATGAGTTCAGGGTACGATAGGGCTGATATACCTGAAGAAGATAAAAGCCCTCAAAATAAAAAAAAAAAATATTACGCCGCGACTTTGTTTGCGTGACCAGGATATGTTTATTGACCGGGATAAAAAGTAGCCTCTATCTATATATAATAGTTATTTGCTGAGAAGAACCCGCAAGAAACTCAGCAAGGAGTCTTGTCAAATAAATTTATATAGAAAATAATTTTATATATTGTATGAATCCTTCGAACGACGCGCGACAACGCCGGAATTGATTAAACGGCGCGAACACATTCACACACATTGATAATGAGCTAAATTAATAGGGACACGTGTAAACATTTTGTTAGATAAATCCACTAACTGCGATACGCGAGGGCTCTGTTGCCCGGGCATCTGCTATTTGATTTGGGTGATTTGTTTTAATGACACTAATTTAAATTAAACAACATGTGATTCTACATTTTAAAACTACGCTTAATTGATACAATCTGGACAATTATTGAGATACATCAACCGCCATATTTAAAATTAATTGACATCAGAATCGTGCTATATGAAACAGATGCCTCGTTCAACAAACTCCTTTGATTGTCCCCCGCCTTTCCTTCCTTCCGTAATTAAGACATTTCGAGTGAGTATTTTTAAAAAGGAGCGTCTCCGTAAACAAGCCGAACGCGTTTATAATGGACTTTTTATATCCAATGTTGTGTTAAACTGTGGGTGTTTTGTTGAACCCGACTTAATGAGTGTATTTAAAAACAGTGGCGTAACTGAAAGGTACTGTTTTTTTTTTTTTAGATTATCCGGCGAAGTCAACACTAGTCCGTGCGAGTCTGAATCGACTTCAAATTCCCCGCCATCCTTACTGCAGGATGCAACATTACCAGCTCTCCTAGTATCTGGAGCGACGACGCTGTTTCAGAACACTACATCTGCGTCAAACTCGGCGCTGAGTTTGTCAGCTGTAGATAGCTTATGCTTACCTGGTAGTTCGGAGGTGGAGAGCTGTAGTTTGGCGAACGGATGCACGGCGAGTACGACGCTGGGCGGCCTAGCCCTACCTCTGACGTCAACTGGCGGATTGTGTTCAACCTCTTCATCATCTACGGTGGCCTGGTTAATGAATGAGGATAGTGCGGGTGAGAATTCCATGGGTCTAGTAATTTTATCAAAATCTGACGTCTGAATGACGTCATCATAAACTCTGTAAAATTTTTAATCTATGCTTAAATTATATAGAATCGATAAAAACGGGTAAATTTTTTCATTAAAACACAAATTAAAAGTACCCGTAACCGGCGAGCGTGTATGACAAGATTGATGAATGTGGAAGAAGCAAAAGAGGTTTGTTTGAATCGAAGCATTTGGCGTTCCATTGTTTCTGCCTACCCTAATGGGAAACAGGCGTGACAGATATGTATGTATTTTTTCATACAATTTTACGTGATAAATAGTTATGATTTTACCTTTATAACTTCTATATTTATTTTGTCTTATAATTTCTGAATCTTATTAGTGCATAAACACTCATTTTATTTAATAAATAATATGTCAAGATATATTTTATGCGTAAGTATATAGAACACTGATAAAAAAATTAGTCAGCTAACTTGCAATTAGCTGACATAAAGTAGACCCGTTTTTGAAGCTCGATACTCTATCTATATAATATAAGTACCTATGCATCATAATAGTGTATGATTCTAATAAGCCAGGAACTTTTGATTAGATGTAGCTAAACGATTCTAAAATCTTTTGGAATTTTAAAATCGACATTAAAAAGTGCCTATGTCAAAAGAGTGGAACGAGAAAATTTGCTATCAATAAATAGGAAAGCATAAGTAATATGGATACAGATCCGATATGTATATATTGGGTTCCTCTGGGCACTCATAGCGAAAAAAAGGTCATCACTAATTTCGATATCGCCCATACCGGTCAGATATCTATTTTCGTATATCTTAAAAATTTGTTATCCAATATTATTTTATGGATAAAAGACTCAACATATTCGTTATTGGACCAGTACCTATATAGGTATTGTAACTAAAATATATAGATATTGTTGTACATTGCCCATCCTCTCTTCAAATAGCTTTTTTAACATCAAAGACCTCGTTTGATACCATTAAACTAGGTCCCTGTTGTACATATATATACATTATATACATATGTACTCATATGCGTATATATGTATATTAGTTACAAAAAATATATCACAATAAGGTACAATTTTCAAAATATTTTTATGATTGATTTTTTAGTACCTATTTGATTTCATTATAAGGTATACATTACGAATGTATTAACAATGTATCTATTAGGCGGTGTCAAGAGCGAGGTGCGCAGTCCAGGGCTGTGCGAAGCAGACGTGGCGCTCTACGGTGAGGCTCTGCCGTACGACCAGACCGCGCTGCCCTACCAGTATTACAATAGGTACGAATCTATATTATATCGGAATAAATTCTTGTATTCGACACCCCTGTTGAATTCGTCAAGATAGGTTCACTGACCTGCCTTTTCTCACCTATCATCCTTCACTGGTGCCCCGTCAGCGTATACCTTTTTTTATGGATGATAATGGAATAGTAACCTCGCCTGCGCTTACGGTATACGCTGGCGGGGCATCAGTGAGGAATGATAGATGAGAATGGAAAGGCAGATCAGTTAGTCCACTGTGATAAATAAACCTGGACTTCAGTACGATATTTTCCACGAGGGGCCACGTAGAGGTCGATCTGACAGGATATATTGCTAGTAATGAGACTGGTAGGCCGCATTACTAACAATCCCTTCCCCCCTAACGTATATCGTTAGAGCAGACAGGGTTAATGTTTCATTATCATCCATTGAAAAAAATATAACATATTTGGGAGAAAGGGATTGTTTAGGGTCTAACAGCCCCATTGCTAGCAATATACCCTATCAGGTCAACCTCCACGCGGTTCCCCCTGAAAACAATCGTGGTAAATTCTAGTTGAATTCATCAGAATGGACTAATTGACCCGCATTCGTTCGCATCTGGTATCTGTCACCGGTGCCCCGCCAGCGCATACCGATAACTCAGTCGGGGTTGCCATTCCATTATCACCCATTAAAAAAAGCATGACATAATCAACATCATAAAGACCAATGCCCTTGATATAGATAGGTAATCAGTCATTTAACAATTTGATAGTAAATTATTAGATATATTTGTATGATTATAATAATAATAATAATAATAATTTATTTGGAACAAAAACATTGGTTACAATATTATTGAAAAACGATGATATCCGCAGAAGTATAAAACTGTGTCGCGAATATCAACGCCCTCCTCCTTATAGCAGGATTCCAAAATAGACAAAACGTATAGTAGTTATTACATCAACGAAGATAATTGTTTGTATCTAGCAACTAACCAACCACAATACTAAATAATAACTATAAACTACAATAAATAAAATAAAAAAGTAAAAATTTAAAAAACAGTAGCCTACATGTTAACTTAAAAAATAAATAATAATAATGTGTGTGTATACGTGTGCGTGTGCGTGAGCGTGTGCATGTACGTGTGTGTGTATATGTGTGTGTGTGTATGTGTGTGTGTGTGTGTTTGTTTGTGTGTTTGTGTGTGTGTGTGTGTGTGTGTGTGTGTGTGTGTGTGTGTGTGTGTGTGTGTGTGTGTGTTGCTTACGTAGCATAGTATTTAAAATAAATAATTGGCGAACAGTTAAAACCCGACAGAGCACATACAGTTCAATAGTGGGAAATAAAATTGGTTTTTTAGCCATTACTTTCAAAACAGCTCTTTGAGCCCGTTCAAGCTTCAGCAAAACTGTTTTAACAGCTCCACCCCAGGAGGTTATACAGTATGTTATTACAGACTGTGCCAGTGCATAATAGACAGTTTTTAGGTTGTTAAAATCCACGACACCTCTTAACCTCTTAAAGACGAATATCAGTTCTCTTACGCGGGACACAGTACAATCAACATGTTGCCTCCATGTCATCGAACCGTCCAACGTTACCCCAAGATATTTTATACTAGTAACACGTTCCACGGATATACAACTGCAAGGATTAGAAACTGTTGGAGTTGGACAAATATGTGGACGAATTGAAAACGCGGAAGAAGGCCGAGAGACACTGTTTATAGAGAAGGGAATAAATTTTGTCTTTAAGAGATTAAGTGTAAGAAGGTTCGACTGAAGCCACCCCATGACATGTCTCAGTGCATTCTCTGAATGCATTTGTGTCTCCGTCCAGGTACGTCCACTGATGAGGAGAACTGTATCATCCGCATAGGTAACTATTTTACAGGTTTGAATAGTTAAGTTACAAAGATCATTGATATAAATTAAGAATAAGGTAGGCCCTAAAAAGACTACCCCGAGGAACACCATAACTGATATATTCATCTTCACTTACATAACCATCAATAGTTACACACTGAGTACGGTTTGCAAGATAGCTTCTGAACATATCAAGAGCTATACCTCTAACACCCACACTTTCTAGTTTCCGAAGCAAAATAGGAATAGAGACAGTATCAAAGGCTTTAGAAAGGTCTAAGAATATACCCACAGTTTTTTTCTTATTGTCAAAGTCTTTAATAATTGTATTAGTAACTTCTAAAACTGCATCCTCCGTAGATTTTTTATTTCTAAATCCAAATTGGTTAGGTGATAGTATATTACGACTCTCAATAAATGTAATTAATCTACGGTTTAGGATTTTTTCAAATATCTTTGAAAAAATGGATAAGACTGAAATAGGTCTATAATTAGAAATAACATCTCCATCTCCACTTTTAAAAATTGGATGTACTATTGCTTTTTTAAAAGCGTTAGGAAAAATACCCATATTAATAGCACAATTGAACACATATTTCAGTATGGGAATAATTACATGTCTTGCTGACTTAATTATTGAAGTAGAAACACCGTCCCATCCAACAGCACAGTTGGTCTTTAAATTAATGATAATATTTTCAATCTCCTCTTCATCCACATCGAAAAAAGCCATAGAATTGGGAGAAGATGGACTGCAGGTATCATGCCTGTGTTGTAGAGGCGTAGCTGAATCATGTCGTATCCGAGAATTACCGTGAAACCGTGATTCAATGGTGGATGCTAGATTCTTGCCAATGTTAGCAAAGAATGTATTAACGGAATTAACAGAAGATAAGGGATTATTACTTAATTTCAATAATTTTGTGGAATTAGTTTGTCTTTTCTGAAGATTTGCCATTCTCTTTATCAAACTCCATGTTTCCTTTGAATTCTTTTTGACCTTTTGGATCTCATTCTGTTGAAAATTCGTTTTAATTTTTTTTAAGAGATTATTACAAAAGGTACGATACCGTGTGTAAATTAATTTATGAGTTTCATTATTGGGATTCTTCCTAAATTTACGGTATAGTTTGTCTCTATGTCGTATACATTTCAGTAGGCCAGGAGTAATCCATGGTCTAATGATGCGTTTTCTACTGGAAATTTGTATATTACGACTATGAGTTTTGACAACGTTGGATACAATACTAACTAAGAGATCAGCAGACATATCAGGATTATTAGAGTCGTACTTTTAAATTAATTAAATCATACTCACGAGGGAAACGATTAGGTACCTACATACAAAGATAGATTCCTTTTCTTGCGTAAAACGAAATTTTTCGCTACCATGCCTGCCCTCTTGTAGTGAGTAGCTGAACCACGTCAATAAATTAAAGCAGCAGGGATTCCCGATCTTTTACAATAATTGTTGTTATTTTTGCTTATTGTTATTTATTTTAGTTCAATTTGTTTTATATATCTGGAAGTCTTTATAAATATATAAATCTTTATTTTATTATTGTATAATTTCTTATTGTTGTGATTGTAAATAAAATAGTTATTATATATTTCAGGTTGTTATATTATTTTATTATATGTTTTTATTATTATCATTATATCTTATTTTGTTTATTTTTCCTGATTCGATATTTAATTTACTGGGTACAGAGGAATAACACCTGAATCCTCAGTAATGGCAACGCATGGGGGGTATCATGGGCGAAACAGTGTACTCTGTTATGTCCATGGTACTGCTCATGTCTATAGGCGACGGTTATCACTTTCCATCAGGTGGGCCGTCAACTTACTTGATGCTAATGTATTTCACTTGAATTTTCCAATTGTCTTTGTATATTTTTGTTTTTGGTGCAATAAAGGGTTAAATAAATAAATGAATACATACCTAATTAATTTAATGGAGAACAAATGACTTCAATTATTGCAAAACTTTCAACCAATAAAAATAATTGCTATGATTCCAACCTTTAATCACTAGGTTTTTTTTTAATGCGCGATGATGATCGGTGTACACTGGTGGGGCACCAGTGAGTGATGATAGGTGAGGATAAAAAGATAGGTCAGTTAGCCCATCGTGATGAATACACTTGGAATTCAGCACGATGGTATCAAGGGGAAACCACGTGGAGGTCCACCTGGTTGGGTATATTGCTAGCCCTTAATCTCTATTATTAACAACCCCCCCTCCCCCTTAATCACTAGGCTCTGATGCATTTTTTTTTAATGTATGATAATGGAATGGTAACCCCGCCTGCGCTATCGGTATACACTGACGGGGCATCAGTGAAGGATGATAGGTGAGGATGAAAGAAAGTCTGTTAGCCCATTGTGACGAATGCAACAAGTATTAATCAAAATGGTTTCTAGGGGAAACCGCATGGAGGTCGACCTGACGGGGCTTGTTAGCAATGGGGCCATTAATCCTCATTATTAACAAGCCCTTTCCCCCCGCTGTGATGCATTGAGTAATGATTGGTCAATATAATTCATTAGTTTGAAGCTGTACACGACTTAATTATCGAGGTCGAGTTGAGGTCGACGCACTGCTGCGTTCGGCGGAAGCCACAAACGGCAAAGCTAATCCTTAATATTAAGACTATGCTTCCTTTGTTTGGTGGATGAAATAATTTAAGATTTTGTTTTACAAAAAAACATTTTCATCAGATCGACAACGTACGCGTAATACCCCTGTTAGTAACCAATTACCATCAGGTGGGCCGTATGCTTGTTTGCCACCTTAGTGGTATAAAAAAAATAACAACTTTGATACAATATACCTATTTATTTGGTTTGATTTGATGCAATACTACCTATTTATTTGGATTTAAAAAGTAAACAACCTAACCGATTATGATAAAATTTCCATTGGACCAATATATCATTTCAGGTAAAAAAAGAATAATCCAAATTGGTTTCTAAATTTCTAAAATTAACAAACTTAAAAAAATTTAACTGAATTTAATAACTCCTTTTTTGAAGTCGGTTGGTAACAGGCAACTTTTTTTATTATTATTCGTATTGTTACGTCATTGCTAATCGCAAGTTGAATTACTCCTCTCCATAGACGGTCTAAGATTGTCATATTTTTAGTACTTAATTCTTTTTATTTGTCCCATGATAGACTTGACATAAAGATAGAATTATAGCTAGATGAATATTTACTATTTACCGAATAAACAAAAACTAAGGTGGGAAAGGGATTATTAGTTATGCAGACTACCAGTCTCATTGCTAACAATATACTCTGTCAGGTCGACCTCCACATTGCCCCTCCTAGAAACCACCGTGCTAAAATCCAGGTGTATTCATCACGATGGGCTAAGTGACCTGCCTCTTTATTCTCACATATCATTTCTTACTGGTGCTCCGCCAGCGTATGCCATTAACGCAGGCGGTGTCACAATTATCATTCATAAAAAAATAAACGAAAACTCATGAATATTCTTTTATTTGTACAGCATGCAACAATATGGTAGCGGCGGCGCGGCGTCCTCGTACGTCAGTTCCTCGCTCTATAACCAGCCTTACGCAGCATACCCTCCCCCACACAATACCAATAACAGGTAAGAATACCTACATTAACTACAGTATAGTATAAAACAAAGTCGCTGTCGCTGTCTGTCCGTCCCTATGTATGCTTAAATCTTTAAAACTACGCCACGGGTTTTTTAAGCAGTTTTTTGTAATAGATAGAGTAATTCAAGAGGAAGGTTTATATGTATAATACATGCATAATATAGTAGAGGAACACTGATAATTTTAAGAGGTTTCTAATGTGATGTGATGTAATGTGCACCCGTGCGAACCCGGGGCGGGTCGCTAGTTAACTATAAAAGGAAAGATAATGTTATATCTCAATGAACCTCTGTACAAAAGACTACTCTCTCGACTAGACTAATATCATAAGAATAAATATATTGGATAGAAGTGTCACTTCAAACTAAAAATTTTGTTTTGTAAATATTTTCTTCGGCCTGTGTCACCTTTGTGGTATAAAAACAGTTACGCATAAATTGAGAAGGTTGGTTCTTATTGCTAAACTTCAAGAAATATATCAGCCTATCCCGTCATCTCTTCAATACGTCTTGAAGTGTTTCGCTATTCTTATGCCTGTTTTTTAATATCTTACTGGAACTATTGGAGTACTGTAAAAGAAAACATCTCTTTAATTTCATTCTCTCATTTAAGACTTATGACTTGTGGCCATTCTAAATAATCCTGAAAAAAATATAACAACGTTGTCTTGTTAAAACATAAACAGAAATACAATTCTACTGATTTCTACTGAAAATCAGGTTGTATGGTATTGTTCCTTTACCTTTCACACTGTGAATAAATTAATACAAATACTAGGAAGGTTGTCACTTTTTCGGAATTTTATGATATGACACAACTCACGCTCTCACTGCAGTATTTGTTGCTTGCAAACCCATCAAATCTACAGGAGTTTTGGTTGTATTCGAATACTGGTTAGTCGATAAGAATTTATTTGTTTAATTCCGCTACCATTAATATGCGTGTGTGAATATTAGTATTATTATATGAGTCATCAATCTCTGACCGTTATAAAGTTTACGCACATGTTGCAAGACGTGTTTCACCTCTAGCCGAGACGTCATCGGGCAATTAATAGATCGCTGCTCGAAGCCTAGTGTTGACTATTCGGCGCCCAACTGCGAATGAGTCATATAAACTTCCGCAAAACAATACCTAATTCAATAAAATATGTACTTGGAGATTTATTCTTATGGTAATGTTGTCTAAAATTTGTTACCCAGATCGTCATGCAAGGCAACACCTACCTACCTGAGTGCGTACGGTGTGAGCGGAGTAGGCAGTGTGCCGAGTACAGGGTTTGGCGCTCAGCCGTCACCATACGCATATTCTTCATACAATGGAAGTTTGGCGCAGTCATTCCCAGCCACACAACAAGTTAGTACAACTATTTTTTTTTTCTGAACTTAACGAAATGGTACATTTACTACATGACTAAGGCCCATATTATTAGATCAACCTCAATAATAATATTGAGTACCCGTTTAAGATGCTCTTTTAATTAATAAACGAAACAAATAGAACGCTATGGTTTACCAGTACGTTATACTAAATGTATGGGTTCGCCCGATAGTTATTGATATAGAAGAATAGAGAGGAGGCCTTTGCTCGGCAATATAAGATCAACATGTGGAAAAATAAACACGTCCCAGTTTCCCGCCATTACATTACATATATCACGAGGTGATTCACTAACACCGCACTCAATAAAGAAAATTCATTAGGCTGTATATAATTATAATAATACTATATGCGAAATAATGACTCAAACTATCACTTGTATTTTCAGTTTCAAATAATATAATTGTTGCAGTCAAAACTCTTAACCAGTCAAAACTACTATTAACTAGTAAAATCAGTCAAAAGTACTGTTAACCGTATGCTTTAGTCAATAATACTTTTGACTAAAAATAGCAGTTAAAAGTACCTAACCTAACCTAACTTAATCGCAAATTTGCAGTCAAAAACACTAATAACCAATAATTTTCAGTCAAAACGACTTTTGACCATCCTGTTCAGTCAAAAGTACTTTTGACTGATTTTGCTAGTCAATAGTAGTTTTGACTGGTTAAGAGTTTTGCCTGCAACATAATCACTGAATTAAACTCGAGTTTTGTTTAGCATTAAATACTCCTTTTTAAACTCAAGATTTCTCGTTTCGTTTTTCGATTTATCGACTTATAAAGAATACAAGCATTAAGTCCACGTTTCGTACAATATTTTCATTTGGTCAATGAAATTATTTAAATAAAAATAAATAAATAAAATGTATTATTTAAACTTTTAAAACTTGAAGCTTGGATTCTGTTACTAGGACTACAGCAGTTACGCAGCTGGTTACGCGGACCATAATGTGGCACAGTACAGTGGATACTATGCCACGCCGAGCTACTCGCCGTATGTCAGCTCGCCGAGTAGCAGCGGCAGTGCTGGCCACACATCGTACCATTTGGGGGGCGCTCTTTCTGGTATTTTTTCAATTTATATTATAAGCTCTACAAACTGTCTTAATGTCTGTCTCAGAGCAATAAGATTACAATAATAATTTCTCTAAAATTATGTAGAAATGACGAAAATTGTTCTAAATCATTCGGATGAGTACCACTGTCCCGTTTAAATTTCTGGAGAAAAATATGCTCCCATGTCTGTCTTTCAATTTGATCGGAGGGATTTGGCAGTAAAATTACTAGGTGTAAAAAATTATGAACTTTTATGATAAAAAAATCTGTGGCGTATTACTGGCCATCATAATCCGCCTTTTATACTGATTTTCTATTGTCTTGTGTTTTACAATTCTGACACTCATAGTCTTTATGTTTAGCTACCGATAAAGACGAGATAAAGAGAACTACATTATCAAGCATTTTTATTATCGACCTGTTTCTCTAAAAATCTATCGGCATTAGATGCTTACATTAGAAGTGATTTTCCATGACAGTGTCTCAATGAGTATTAGATTACACTTACAAAAATGTTATGAGTCATCCGGACGTACCTAATTATGTAATTTAATTATGTCACACATAATCTAAACAGTTACCTACGTACGTACGTATTTATAGTTATTTTGATGGGTGAAAATGTTATGGTAACCCCACCTGCGCTAACGGGATACGCTGGCGGGGCACCAGTGAAGGGTGATAGATGAGAATGAAAACAGGCCAGTTAGCCCATCATGATGAACTCATCAGGAATTAACCATGATAGTTTCCAGGGAGAACCGCGAGGTGGTCGACCTGGTTGGGTATATTGCTAGCAATGGGATTCTCAGCCTCCATTACTAACAATCCCTTTCCCCCCCCTACATTTATAGTTAGACCTGTTTTCGAGAAGTTATTAAAACTAATAACAAAAAAGGTAATAAATGTTCAAATCTAATAAAGATGAACAAATTAACCCCACACTGTCTAATAAACTTAGATGGCATAGTTGATATGCACAAATTTTTATAGCGTTGTTTTTAACATAATATGTATAACTTCATACTTCCACAATGGTATGGAAAAAACCATGTGGTAAAAATTCGCAGTGCGTAATATGTATTAATCCGTAGGAATTATCACATTATGACCGTCGCTAAACGCTACCGTAAAATGGTAACCGAAAACTGACTACTATGCTCTCAGTTCCGTCTATTCCGTAAAAGCAAACAGACTGATTTATTAATTTGACGTTACGTTTACTTGTTGCAAATGTCAAACTAAATTGACAATTTAGTATTTACAAATCATCTAATTTATTAATATTTGCAAAACATTATTTTATACAACAAACATTAATTTATTAATTATAATTGTTTGTGTAATATTTGTTACAAAAAGTTTTTCTTTTTAAAATATTATACATAAGTTGATTACAAAAATTTAAAACAAAAAAAGACAAATTTCCACATTCCAAGCCGATCTCATAGTGATACAATATGAATAAAGAAAACGAGGAATACCATTCGAATAAACGAAGAAAACTGGACGATAGTGATTCTGAGAGGCTCCACGATGATAATTCGGATTATTGGCCTGATTCTGATAGTGAAAGTGGTACGATAGTTCAGTTACATTTGATATACTAAAGTGAATTATTTGTAACAAATATTTTGTTTGTGTAGATTCCCCATCCTCGATGCTTCCTTCAATGAACGATACAAGTCCACTGTCGCCAATAAAAAGTGAAGTACATGCAGCAAGCAGAAGATGTAGAGAGAACTCTGGGTAAGTTAAAAACTTTTAACTATAATAACAAGGAATACTCAAGGATGCATACTTTTTTATAAATCAAGTTTTAGTTATTATTGCAATCAACATGAATAACAATTAAATGCCATTCCTTGGTAACCACTTAAAAGTGGTTGGAAGAAAAATAAAACTTAATTGAGATATATAAGAAGTTTAGACAGGAAGATATCTGTTAAGTTTGCTAATATTAAATAAGATATTGAAATATCTCTGTATAATCCTTCTTTCTGCTCTTTTACCATATCTATTTGAGATCGGCATAGTGTTTTCCTCTGCTATTCATCTCTATTTGTAGTTATCTCACTAATTATCCATCAGGTGGGCTGTCAGCTTGTTTGCCATTCTAAGTTGTATAAAAAAAAGTTACACCTTTTTGGCCATGTCATCTGTCACACAGACCATCCATAAACTAAATAATTATATATAACTAACCTTATTACTAAATTTTTTAGTAATGAATGGTCAGTCCACCAATTGTTGTCTATTAAAATAGTAAAAAGGTACTTTAAAAAATTCTTATATTAATTTAACACTTCCAGAGAGAGCACAGCGAGCAGATCTCGTGGCCGTGGCAGAAGGAACACTTCATCATCCCCAGCACAGCATGTCCCCGAGCCCGCTACAGACAGAGTCTTCATATGGGACCTGGATGAGACCATCATCATATTCCATTCATTATTAACAGGCACATATGCCACTAAGTACAATAAGGTATGTACTAATAATCATAATGAATCTAAATAACTAGCTGTGTGATCCTGGCAAAGAATGGCCTGGCCACCCCTTCTTTTCTTGTGGGTGTCATAAAAGTCGACTAAGGGAGGGTGACAGATGGGCAGCAGTGTCCCTCTTAAAACATCTCTAAAGTCTAACTGTGGTTATCAATCTGCCTGCCAAGTGTAGCAACTACTGGTAAAACCCCCCAAGGGAGGACACCCCTAGTAATGGAGGCATAAATAGGCTACAGTCACTATTTACTATTAAATGGGGAATATGCTTGTTCACCACTTTCATGGTATAAATAATAATTTAAAAGTAGACAAATTTAAGTCCTTGCATCTAAAAAATGCTCAACTATCAAGTATTCTTATTTTCAACTGTTAATTATCCACTGTGGATTTATGCCATGGTGTGAATTTACTGAGTACAGAGGAATAACACCTGAGTCCTCAGGAATGCCAACGCATGGGGGGTATCATGGGCGAAACAGTATACTCTGTTATGTCCATGCTACTGCTCATGTCTATAGGTGACGGTTACCACTTTCCATCAGGTGAGCCGTCAGCTTGTTTGCCATTCTAAGTTGTATAAAAAAAAAAAGAAAATGCCTCCCTCTTAGACTGCCATAATCAATCCTAAGCGTAATTTATATTAATAATTTTATTTATTCTACATCTAATTTTCCAAGTGTCACTTTCTTTCTGATACAGTGTGTGCCTGTATATTGTCACGTACTGATATGTACTTATCTTTCCAGGATACTCAACAAATAGTTCAATTAGGATTCAGAATGGAGGAAATGATATTCAGCCTAGCTGATACACATTTCTTCTTCAATGATGTAGAGGTAAGATGTCTTATTTAATAATTCATATGTTACATAAAAAAACTATACTTACTAATAGTTAACTAATTTTGAAAAATATATTCTAAAATAATCTCAATTAAATTAGCACATAGAGTCTTGTTTAATTGTTAAAAATGTATTTTGTAGGACTGTGACCAGGAGCACATAGATGCTGTAGCAGCTGACGATAATGGTCAAGATCTATCTGCGTACAACTTCGCATCTGATGGATTCCACGCGGGCGCTGCACCTAACACTGGTTTATGCGCGCCTGGTGTCCGCGGCGGCGTCGACTGGATGAGGAAACTGGCCTTTCGATATAGAAAAATAAAGGACACATATAATAATTATAGAAACAGGTATTTATTTGACATACAATAACAATATAAAATTTCTAAGATTAAAATTATTATATAATTAAAATTTGCCTAAGATTACGCCATTGGCTAAAGATTTTTTAGAAATATAATACAATTCACCCAGGCTGCCTTTCATTTAATCTTTCTTTATATAATACTTTCAGTTAATCATTAGTAAGGGGTACCAATTGGTAAAACTTGGGGCAAAGGGATTGTTAGTAATTGGGGTCTTGCCCCATCGCTAGCAATATACCCTATCAAGTTGACCTCCACGCGGTTCCTCCTGGAAACCATCATGGTTAATTATTGATGAATTGGTCATGATGGGCCAACTGACCTGCTTCATCCTCACTTATTATCTTACTCACTGGTGCTCTGCCAGTGAATATCGATAGTGCACGTGGGGTTACCATTTCATTATCATTAATGGATGATAATGGTGGAGAAACAAAACTGGCAACACTTGCTTGTAGTAATTTTTTATAGGCTTCCCTATGGTTGACTGGGAGAGAATGCTTTTAGCATTAAGTCCGCCATGTACACATATTTGTACTAATGAATAAATAAATAAATAAATAAAACCCCATCTGGTCATACTGAATAAAGAATAAACCTCCGTTTAGTGTAGATGCTACTACAGTACCATATGTTACTAACATTTTTAGCTTAATTTACATATATATACATAGAAGATGCTGATGTTAACAAAAGATTGTTAAGGTAAACATTTTCCACTCATAAAGTGTCAATTGTTGATAATAATGATAATTTTACCACGAGTGTGATTTGCGGCCAAATGACGTCAGCTGACTAAATTTCAGTTAGTGTCATAATGGGTACACCATACAGCTGAAATTTAATTATTAGGTTATATTGCTGTTTTATTTCAGTTGAATTCAAATATAAATTTTTATAACTCTGTCAGTTGTAAACCGATTTAGAAAATTCTGTTTTTACCTGAAAAAATATACTACAGATTAGTCCTATTAAATTTTTATCAAAATTTCTGTCTATACACATTTACACAGAGGTTGCGTTTATTTTTTTTATGTTTGTTATCTTCAAAACGTTTTTTTATTTTAAGGTAACGAATATAAAAAATAAATATAACTGAATTGAGAACCTCCATTTTGAAATCAGATGAAAATTTCATCAAATCGGTTGAACAGTAAGGACGTAAGGTGTCAATGAACATCGTGACATAGGATATTTATAAATTTCTAGCTGTATCTCGCAGCTTCACCAGGTTGCATCAATGCCTAAAGTATTCTATGTGCTAAGTTAGAATATATGGAACTTACCCATGTGCTAAATTTCATTCTAATCTGTTCAGTAGTTTCTGTGTGAAAGAGTAACAAACATCCATCCATCTTCCTTAGAAACTTTCTTATTTACAATATATAGGGAGATTATTATAATTAATTCCAAGTAATTTTGCATGGTACAGTGTGGGTGGCTTACTTGGACCGGCGAAGAGAGAGCAGTGGCTGCAACTGAGGGCCGAGCTGGAACAAGCCACCGACAATTGGCTGACCCTCGCCTGCAAATGTCTCAATATGATTAATTCTAGGTAAATTATTTATTAAGTGCCGCACTATGGTAACACCAGTTGCCTTCTTGCTGGGTTATATGGTGATGCTTGGTAGTGGTTCAATAGTGAAGTACTCGGGTGATTTATTTATTTTTTTACAAGCTGACGGCCCACCTGATGGAAAGTGGTAACCGTCGCCTATAGACATGAGCAGTACCATGGACATAACAGAGTACTGTTTCGCCCATGATACCCCCCATGCATTGCCATTCCTGAGGACTCAGATGTTATTCCTCTGTACCCTGTAAGTTCACTACCATATCCCACCCTTCAAACCGAAACACAGCTATGCAAACACAACTGCTTCACGGTAGAAACACGAATGGGACAAAGGTACCCAAGCAATCGACTTTTGTACAAAGTCTCCCTCTGATAATGCAGGTCAGTTAGCCCACCATGGTGAATTCGACAAGAACCATGATGGTTTCCAGGGGGAACTGCGTCGACCTTACAGGGTATATTGTTAGCAACGAGACTATTAGACTTCATTACTAATAATCCCTTTCTCCCCGGACACAACACGCACGTGACAGACACCCCTAGTGTTACAGGCGTTCGTAGCCTATACTGACCGTTTATCATCAGACAGGCTGTATGCTTGTTTGCCACCTTTGTGGTATAAACATGAATAAGTACCTCGTGGTAGCTTATATTATATTTCTTTCTTTGCATTTCACAGGGAGAACTGCGTGAACGTACTAGTAACGACGACGCAGCTAGTGCCGGCGCTAGCTAAAGTGCTTCTCTTTGGCCTCGGCGGCGTGTTTCCTATAGAAAATATATACTCCGCCACTAAAACAGGTCAGTCCATATTTTTTATAAACACTACTCTATACCTGCGGCTTTGCTTAACATACTTATTTTCAACCGACTTTAAAAAGAAGAAATTTCTTAATTAATTCATTCTCAATCTTAATTATTTTAAACTTATTTATTTTCTCTCTTAGGAAAAGAAACGTGTTTCGAGAAAATAAAGCAACGCTTTGGCGAGAGGTGCACATACGTCGTGATCGGAGACGGTCAAGACGAAGAGGCCGCGGCCAAAGCGAAGAACTACCCATTCTGGAGGATATCCAGCCATTCTGATATAGCCGCGCTGTACAATGCGCTCGACATGGGCTTCTTATGATTTGCTGTTATCCTGGTACTCGTTATACTGTCCTATGGAATAAACTCTATTAAAATGGGCCTGCAAATATTAACAAATTTGAAAGTATTTTGAAGTCATTTGAAATGTATAAGGGGACAGCCTTCAATTATGTGAGCCTAGAAATAAAAAAGAAAGAAAGAATATTTTCTATTTATTGCTTAACTTGAAAATACAGCGGAAACAACAGGAAAACAATTATCCATTAAGAGAGAGAGAGAGAAGTATGTCTCGTTAAAAAAAAATTAACGAGTCAAATAAAACGTAAAAAAACACTATTTATTTGCTGGTCTCTTCTATATCTAAACTAATATTATAGGTTTATGTTTATTTTAGAATCTCCTTACATTGCACTAAACCTCACGTAAGAGGAGTGAGACATCAAAATTTTTAAATAAATCCCTCGCATAATTAATGGACGTCCCCTTGTCAAAGGCCAAACCTTTAAGAATTTCTATCAATTTATGATTGCCTAGTACAGTAACTATATCAGATATCAATTTTATAACAATATACAAAGTTTAATTGGACTCGATGGCTTGTTAAAAAGTACAGTTAGTTACATCTTAGCATCTGTGAGCCGTTAACAATAGTTTTGTAGTTAACTTATTATGTTGGCCTAATTGATATTTAGTTTAAAGCTCAAAGATAGCTCAAAATCTACGAACAAAACTCTTAATTAAATTGTAAATATATATTAAACTGTAGAAACGTTCTACACAAACAGTTTTAAGTCCATTCCTACTATGTAAGTTTTATATTCTATACAATGTACAGATTTAGTGAAATAAAGAAGTTTTATAGTTCAATGTATTTATGGACGATTTCAGTATATTTTTTTTTATTTTTATTATCTCTTTTTATCTGCAAAGCAAGCAATCGAGAAATATGTTCCTCTGCTATGTTTAAGCACAACTTTTTATAGCCTTACCTGTACATAGGTATAGGTGGCATTGATAAATTGTAACCATTCATTTACAGTTTTATCTACGCACACACACACAAAATATAAATTTTCTTAATTCAATTTGTTATTAAACCAATTTAAATTGATGCAATAAACTAGTTTATAGATAAACTAGTTTTGCGACATTAATGAATAAATAAATATTATATATATAACAAAAATTGTAATTTGTTGAAAATCTGGATCGCAAACTAAGCGATAACCTATAGCTTAGACACCAGAGTGCTTAAAGCCTTGCAGTTTACAGATTTAATTAAACAGCCCAGCACACTGGCATTATAAAAATGAATGGATTTTATATTCTATGAAAATTAATTGATTACATCAAACTGACGTCAAAATTATAAGAAAACTAGCCAAAACTTCTTCACTGTGCATGTTAGAAAAATTGCATTTAAAATGTCTTCCATCGAACCACCAATCTAAATGTTCGGACACTGTAACTGAATAATAAAAACATGTGAACACTTATAGACAGTTAACCGCCAATGTCTCTTAACTGACATAAAATAGTTGTTACAATTTATTCTAACTGCTTTTCTACATTATATAAAGAAATATTTTTTTACATCAGTATATAGAAAAATTCTATTAAAGTTCAACAACTTGACGTTTTCGTTTTTATAATATTTGGAATAAATTCAGTAATATTTTCTGTGATTCCTGTAAAATGTAGTCCGTGTTAGTTCGAGGTTATTTGCTGTTAACCATCTTCACGCTACTTACTATGTTTTTCGCGCGCATTATACAATTGAATGTACAAGTTTCTGCCCTATATTTCATGTAACACGAGCGTAAAGGTGCATTCACGTATTTCCTGGGTGAGCGTATTGGGTAAAGCTCATCCAGTTAATGTAATAAATAAATAAATTACTCAAGACAATTTTTAGAAAAAAAAGGGATCTTTTGAAATTATACGTTTTTAAATCTTCAAATATTTCATTACGTATTACTTGAACGTCCCCTTAGCTGTGTATGTACAAATGAAATGTAATTAATTCTGTTTTAGTCGTTATCATCTTTTTAAACAGCGTTCTACATTTTAATGAAATAAGCAATGAAACAATAATGATCAAGAAAGCTCCACTAATTTCGGAACCAATCCGAAACCCTTAATCGTCAGCAGTTCTGACGCTCAGACACGCGCTCGCGTCACAGCTACTCGAGTAAATTAAATCAGTAGTCATTAATTTACGCTTACGAAATTTTTAACAATGGTAGATTCACATTTACTTGTTGTTTTTGTACCCGTATTTCTTTTGACTTTATCAGATTATTCGATAAAAAAGATGCTAATGATTTCTTACTTCACCCTGTATATTCTATCCATTCGTATATTTATAAGTATGTAAAATCTCCAAGCAATTGATTTGTTATAAAAATAATTATTTGCTGTATCAACGATTCAGTTGTAAAAGGCTTTATTATGTTATGGAACGTAGCAATATTTGTAATGTTAAATGAAATAGACAAATCTAGGAATATGTAAATACAGATTAAAAACTAGTTTAATGAACATAGCTTATTCTTATTACGCTCTAATAGGAATATTGAATTTAATTCGAAAGTTATCATTATTCGAATTGTAAATAAAATTATATTATTTGAGAATTTAATCAGTTTTTGTTTTATTTGGAAGTTTCGTCTGCATATCGTATGAGTATCTATCAATGAGGATCATCTGCTGACAGTAGCATGTCAACATATGAAAATATGCGATGAGGCGTCGCCGATCTTCCGCCGATAGAAGATCGGCGCGCGTTCGACTGAGGGACCACCAGACCAGACTTTGACAGATGACCAGAGGGAGAATTTGTACAAAAGTCAATTGCTTGGGTGCCTCTGTCCCATTCGTGTTTCAACCGTGAAGCAGTTGTGTTTGCATGGCTGTGTTTACTGGGTACAGAGGAATAACATCTGAGTCCTTAGGAATGGCTACGCATGGGTAGATGTATGTATGTATGTGTATCATGGGCGAAACAGTATACTCTGTTATGTCCATGGTACTGCTCATGTCTATAGACGACGGTTACCACTTTCCATCAGGTGGGCCGTCAGCTTGCTTGCCATTCTAAGTTGTATAAAAAAAAAACGTTAAACGCAAGCGTTACGCGGCGTTATATTGGTATAATGACTGATCTTCAGCGTAACCTTCAATGTTGAGGAGAAAAGGGATTGTTAGCAATGGAGTTTGACAGCCCCATTGCTAGCAATATACTCTATTAGGTGGACCTCCACGTGGTTCCCCCTGGAAACTGTCATGAACAAATATGTCCACTATTTTTATTGATTTTTATTGGGCAACTTCTAAGTATTTTTATGGTTATATTATCCGATTACGTCATCAATACTAAATCCATATATAAATACTACAGTCGTACGTCATTGATTAATATAAAATGTCTAAGCCTAGAAGTACCTTCGTCTAGTAAATTCATCACTGTAGTCGAATGATTTCTAAAGTGGGCTCCCCAAACATCAATATATATTATTTATCTATTACAAATCCATTTGAAGTTTTGAAATATACGAGTTATCTCGCTTCTAAATCAATGCAATATTTAAATTACTTTGTTTCGTGGTCTCAAAAGTTTGGAAACCACTGCTGTAGTCAATGGCAACACGCGTTGCTATGCGACAAATACCAAAACACTAACAAAACAAATCACACATGTCAACAAAAGTGATAATCAAGAAATAAAAATTCAGAATCTAACTTGTTTTACCAAAAAAAGGAAAAATAAATATATAATAAATAATTTAATTATAAAATTAAAATGAAATCCGTTGTCAACTCTATACTCTTCGATGTGTCAAAAAATGAAATATTTAAAATAAACGAAAATTATAAGTTGCTCCATAGGAAATTAAAAACAACCTGGAAGGTCATGATGTAAGTTGTTTAAATTATATACTTACCTGCACTATTTATTAATTTATTTTTATTGACCTCAAAAAATATTTATTTTAATACTTTATTATACACACTAATTATAGATAAAAATATGACAGAGATGATCAAATGTACAAAGGCCAGCTTAACTCTAAAAGAGTTCTCTTCTAGCAAACCCAAAGTAGAAAGGAGTATCAATGTCAGCGGGTAGAGCGGTGTACAATATTGTGACCAATTTACAAACAAAAGAACTAGACAGATTTGGTACAAAAAAAGATTTAGTACAAAAGGCGAACCACGAAGGTCATAAAAAGCATACAGGTCATCTCATTGATTTATTTCTGTTTCCTCAATTTAGGGGAAAACAGAAATTATAATTTTAGTTATTTATAGTTTCATATATTTTTCATACAACCTCCATGGTAATTTGCAATGGTAAACATATGTGCTTTCTATCCTCCATCTTAGTGGAAATCGTTGATTACAGACAACAGAACTATATACATACATACATATCTGTCATGCCTATCTCTCATTAGGGTAGACAGAAACAATGGAACGCCAAATGCTTCGATTCAAACAAACTATATACATATAGACTGTTACATGATATTACGCAGTCAAACAATGAGTAAAATTGACTTTTAGTTATTTAAATAAATAACATCCATCCATCGTTACAAATTTTCGTATTTATTATATTAATAACATATACAATATTGTAGTAACCGCGATGAGCTCTCATCAAATATCCTTCAAGACGTCAAAATCCTCGTGGTAGCAGGACCACAGAACGTGTTCACAGACGATGAACTAGCATGCTTGAAGAATATGGTCGAGAGAGGCGACTCCGTACTGGTCGCCATGACTGATGGTGGCGAGGAGCGAATGAATACTAATATAAACTTCTTTTTGGAGGAATATGGTATTGTTGTTAATAATGGTAAGTTAATGTTCCATGATCCGTGAGTGTCACAAGAGGCGACTAAGGGAGGATGAGGGATGGGCAGAAGCGTCCCTCTTAAAACATCTCCAAAGCCTAACTGCAGTTGCCAATGCGCCTGCCAAGCGTATATAAAGCGTATGTAGCATGCAATAAGAGAGAATTTGTACAAGTTGTTTTATACCTACTCCAATAAAAGCAATCAAGCATTCAGCTCGCCTGATGGTAAACGGTGAAGTAACGGTTTTCTGTTCGTGAAATTTTGGAGAAATTTTTTTTTTTACTAAAATGAATATATATTTATTAGAATAAATTGAAATGGATTTGAAAATATTTTGGGTATTTTTTATGGCTTCGCTATTTGTAAACTGTACAACGAATACAATATATAAATATACGAATAAAGTAGGGGAAAGGGATTGTTAGTAATGGAGACTGAGAATCCCTATAAAAGTAGCAAAACAGAGGGTAAGAGATATTAAAAACAAGAAGGGATTTTTTAGTTTTTCGCTCTGTGGTTGCATGGCAAGACTTAGTAAAAATCGGTACAATTTGAGAAAAAATAATTGATATTTGGATAAAAATTAAATATTATATTTGACAACCCTCGTTACAGTTGCATAACACCAAGGATGTCACGTGTGTTACTAATTTTTAAAAAACATTTTTACACATAAGTCATCTGCACAAATACCTCTGTTAATTCGTGCCTGCATGGCCGGTGTGAAGGATGATATATGGCAATGAAATCACGGTTACATTATGCCTCAGTCGTCAAGAATGGCAGCGCAGTATAAGGTATCATGGACGTCACAGTGTATTCTGTGATATCTGTTGTCATCATCATCATTTCAGCTATTATTCGTCCACTGCTGGACGTAAACCTCCCCATAGACTGCCATAAAGAAGTAATGCATTTCATGTCGTCACTCCATCTAGTGGGGGGGGGGGGGGGTCATCCTATATGGCATATCCATAATGGGCGTTTGCCCATACAGGATCGCCACTCAAGAACCTTTCTTCCCCATCGGTTGTCGGTTCTTCGAACTATGTAACTAGCCCATTACCATTTGAGGTTGTTTGTCCTTCAGGCTATGTCAGTTACTTTACTTTGGTTCTTTTGCGGATACCTTCGTTTCGGATTCTATCACACAAAGCACTATTCATTACTACATTAGCACGTAAAAAAAATCTATTGTGCAGACAGGCTATTCTTCAATAATTTTTGATGTAAAGTCAACAGCCTTGAACTTCATTGTAGTTACGTCATAATAATACGTCATAAGTTCGAGGTTTCACTTCCGATCAATGTAAGAAATTATATATTTATGCACTCCTTTAATAAGTTCGTAAACATAGTACTTAATCAACTTGTCTTCTTTATCGACTTATAAAAAGGAGGTTATCAAATTGTTTGTATTATTTGTATTTTTTGTTTGCCGTGTGGTACCAACATAGAATGGGCCACCCATTTTATTCCCGTGTGTCTCATAAGACGTAACCAAGGAAACTTAATGGTACAGGATGGACAGCAGCATTCTTCTTAAAACATACCACAAACCTATCCGCGGTTGCCAATCCGCCTACCAAACGTAGCAACTATTGGCAAACTGCCCATTGATATGTGAGGCCTATGTTCAGCAAAGGACAGGTAACGACTGATATGATGCTTTGTATTATGTTTTTTTTTATACAACTTAGAATGGCAAACAAGCTGACGGCCCACCTGATGGAAAGTGGTAACCGTCGCCTATAAACATGAGCAGTACCATGGACATAACAGAGTATACTGTTTCGCCCATAATACCCCCCATGCATTGCCATTCCTGAGGACTCAGATGTTATTCCTCTGTACCCTGTAAATTGACGCCATATCCCACCCTTCAAACCGAAACATAGCCATGCAAACACAACTGCTTCACGGTAGAAACACGAATGGGACAGAGGTACCCAAGCAATCGACTTTTGTACAAAGTCTCCCTCTGGTTTATGTCACGCTATATATCCTGTGAACAAAAATCGATTTAAATTACTATTTTTTACGAAAATGGGTAGGTAAAAATTGAAAGAGTTTGCTTTTAGTATAACTACATTTTACTAATATAATAAAATCGTAATTAAACGCTTTCATTCATTTTTCGACACCTGAAATCACGAGTACGAAGTAGTAGGTAAAAAGTTTGTAATTTATAAAAATTTTATATCTACTAATAATGGTCAAACTAAAGTAAGTTATTTTATAAAAAGAAGTCAGTATTTTTATTTATTTACTTAACTCCCATAAAAACCTAAAGACTTTACTCTTTATAGATTGCGTCGTTCGTGCTAAATACCACAAATTTTACCACCCTAAAGAGTGTCACATATCCAATGGGATCTTAAACCGTGCCGTTATGAAATACATAATGAAGATGCCCAATTACTCTAGCGAATCGGATGATTACCTGTAAGTATACTTTTACTATATGCCGTATGGTCCCGACATAGACTCCTCTTTTCCTGTGGATGTCATAAGAGGCAACTGAGGGAGTCTAATGGTCCAGGTTTCGGCAGCAGCGTCTCTCTTAAAACATCACCAAAGCCTGTGGTTGCCAACCCGGCTGTCAGGCGTGGCAACTACTGGCAAAACACTCCTTTATAGGGGAGGCCTATGTTCAACAGTAAACAGTTAAAAATAAAAATAATCCTAATAGATCGAAATGTGTCAAATTTTGATCTGACCGTTTACGCAAAGATAAGTTGAGTACTGTATAAAGAATGACATATTACAGTGAAGACCCAGCGACACCGAACTTTGTGTATCCGTACGGTGCCACCCTAACAGTGAACAAGCCCGCCGCAGCCATTCTATCCAGCAGTGACGTGTGCTACCCGGTCAAGAGGCCTGTGGCAGCGCTGTACACCTCCGAGAAGAGTGGAGGTCAGTAAATTGGATGTTGTGATTTTTTAAGATACTTATGACGAATTAGCAGTCCACGGCACAGTATACTCTGTTATGTCCATGGTACTGCTCATGTCTGTAGATGAAGATTACCACTTTCCATCAGATGGACTTGTTTTACATTCTAAATTGCATAAAAATGATTAAATAATTTAGGCTACGTACATAGATCCTTACAATAGATAATAGAAGAGGTAAAATGCTGAGTCAGCGTATACGATATGACAATTTTTAAAAAGCATAGTAGAAGAAAAAATAGAGGGTAAAAGAGGAAGAGGGAAACCGAGGAATAAAGACAGGGATAGATAAAGGAAACATTAGGTGTCATGTCGTATAGGGAGGTCAAAGATGTGGCAAGGGATAGAGCTGGCTGGAAGAAAAAGTATGAATTGTTTGATCCGACAAGAAGAAACTCTTAAATGAAAAGAAACATAGATCCCTATAAAAAAACAGTAATCTGTATCTGTCAATTGCCTGCTATATGTTTGAGATCGTCTCTAAGGGGCATAGTAAGAGTGTAAACATTCCAGCAGTCAATGGGCTACGATAGCATTTCAAGTTTCTTAATGCATATTCAGATACAGAGAGATATAAACAATAAAGTACAAATAGATGAAATAGAAAGTAAGAACAGTTTGACAAAAATAAATCCTATTTGAGTACCTAAATTTGCCGTGTGGTCCCTGCATAGAATAAGATATCCCTTCCTTTCCCGTGAGTGTCGTAAGAGGTGACTAAGGGAACTTAAGTGTCGAGGGATGGGCAGTAGCGTCTCTCTTATAACGTCTCCAAAACCTAACTGCGGTTGCCAACCCGCCTGCCAAGCGTGGCAACTATTGGCAAACCCCTTTTGAAAAGGGCCTATGTCCAGCATCGTACAGTTAACGGCTGATATAATTGGGTACCTAAATAGAACAAATAAACTAAGAATCGAACTGAGACTCCAATTTAAGCAAAATCCAGAGGGAGACTTTGTACAAAAGTCGATTGCTTGGGTACCTCTGTCCCATTCGTGTTTCAACCGTAAAGCAGTTGTACTTGCATGGCTGTGTTTCGATTTGAAGGGTGGAATATGGCGTGAATTTACTGGGTACGGAGGAATAACACCTGAGTCCTCAGGAATGGCAACGCATGAGGGGTATCATCGGCGAAACAGTATACTCTGTTATGTCCATGATATTGCTCATGTCTATAGGCGACGGTTACCACTTTCCATCAGGTGGGCCGTCATTTTATTTGCTATTCTAAGTTGCATAAAAGAAAAATCTTCAAAAGTATTTACTATAGAACAAGATTATGTATTTTCAGGTAAACTATTCGTTATTGGTTCTGGACATTTCTTCGCCGACCAATACTTAGAATGCGAGTGCAATGACCTGATCCGTGAGATGATTTTCAATAACCTCGGCGGAGTCACGGATCTGCATCTGAATCCTGTCGATGTGGAAGATCCTGATGTGAGTTTCTAATACGTATATGTAATAGCAACCTCTTATATGTTATATTGTTCACTCAAGTAATGTTTGATCGTGGGTACATCTGGTTTTGGTGGCTTGAAACTGAAAGTTACTGAATTCACCTTCTGATTTATCTCTTGTAAACACAAAATATGTAATTTAAGTTCATTTGTAACTAGTTTTTTTTTTACATGAACGTTTTTGATTAATGATCATAAACGTATTTAATACGTACCGGTATTGCGTGGTGCCCGCTCCAGGATTCAGCTGTACACAAAAACAAGTCTACAAAAAACGTATATATATATATATATATCTTATTAGAGATAAGCTCGCCTTTGTACATTATGTTTATAATGAACTGTGATTAACAGTATGTTTTATGTACAATAAAGAATATACATATATATATATATATCTATGAATCTTTTTTAAGGTACCCCTCCCCCTGAATAAACTTAAATACGTCAATGTTAATGACCCCCAGTTATTGTTTTTCAGACCAACGAGTACCGCACACTCGGTGACATGATGTGGCTGAGCAGCGTACCACTCCCGGAGCCAGCGACCGCACCGCCCCCTAGACTCACGCCTTTGCATCCCCATGCGCTGTTCACCTGGAAATTGTTCTCTCTCAACCTCGCTCAGTGTTAGTATCTATATCGTTTATGGATTTTTAGGCTATTGAGAGGCAAACAAATTCATAGGTCACCTGATAATTATTTTATTATCTGATAATTATTATATTTTATTAATAGAATATTTTATTATGGAATAACTTAATGTTGTCATATAAAATAACTATAAGTTAAAAAAATTTTTGTTGGTTACAGTGCCCGAAGTATTAGGACTGTATGACGCTCTAGGAGTTAAACATGAACCACTAAGATTAATTGCTCCGCAATTCGAAACACCTTTCCCGCCTCTGCAGCTTGCGGTAAATACATATAAGTTATTTGTACCTTTTTGGACTTTATTAATATTTCTATTGATAATATTAATTTGGATGGTATTACATCAGGTATTTCCACCCACATTTCGGGAACCACCACCGCCTCCGTTAGAACTGTTCGACCTAGACGAAGCTTTTAGTTCGGAGCGCTCGCAACTCGCCAGACTAGCAAACAAGTGCCTTCAACCAGCAACATCCAGAATAGGAGGAGGTAAAGGAGCTTATTATCTCTATAATCTTTATTATTACAAGCACTTGCCTCATCCCATGCATATACGTCGGTTTTCTTGAAACTTACTAGCTTACCAGATGTATTAATTATCCCCAATATGAACACCACCATACGTTACAGAATATACTGTGCCGCCCATACACACTAATTTACCTCCGTACCCAATAATTTATTTTGTTCTTCAAATAGAAACATTACCTTACAATTGTAAAATACTGCTTTAAATAACATTAAAAAACATTTTAATATGTAAAAAAAACTAACTTAATCGAAAAACACTTGTTGTTGATGGTATAGTTTGTAGATACATTAGACTGAAAATTGAGAGTAAATGTTTTGAAAATATTGCAAAAATAAATAACAAAATAGGTAGTAAACTAATTTGGGGTCTTATTGCGTAACAACCGCAAATTATAATGGCGAATTGAAATAATACTCTTTGAAACTGCTTAAAATAATAGTTTAATTCTAGGAGACGGGCGTCAGCTAGAAAACGAGCTGGAATACTTCGTGCGGGAGTGCGGACGTGTGGTTCGGCTTTCGAAGGCATTGCCTGCTGAAGATGCACCAGCTGGCAAGATCATACTGCATCAGCTGGCTGTTCAGCTCGCCACATACAAGAAAATAGCTCCCAGAGATTAGTAGAAATATAAACAGAACTACTAGGAGAGCATGACACGAGTAGTGATCAAAAATAAGTAAAGACTGAAGTAAGACTTCGCTCATATTTTTCTTATTATGCACCTCATCTTGTCTTACGAAATAGAATAAAATCGTAACTAGATGTTGTCTGTACATGGAAGATATTTAAGAAAAATTAATATAAGGCATGTATTAGTATTAACAATTTCTGATATAAAATCTGGTGTTTTGTATCATCCTGTCTATTCCATTGGTCGTCAATCTTCTAAAATACACGCGTACAAAGTAGCGGACAAAAACCTAGTAAATATAAAGGTAATTAATTGATTTATTAATGTATCAAATAGTTAATAGAAAATTTTATTATTAATACTAAATATATGAAAAAGTTCCTTTCATTTTTATTATTTCTAAACTTGCACCAATGTAAAAAGTAACGCAAAAAGGAACATAGATTTTGTACAGAGTTATTAATAAGTAGAAATAAAATTTTGCCTTTACAAAAAGTTTTTTATTTATTATAATTTCTAATTTCTCATTTTCATAAAAATAAATAATAACAATATATGCACGTTTTGTTATAAACGCACCTAAGAAGAAACTGATAATAAAATTTATCGCCCCATTGGCAAAACCTATCAGAAATCTCATAAATCTAACATACTAAAAGTATTTTATTACTAAAAGCAATGTGGAAACATTCGTTATTCGTAAGCAATGAAAGTATTGCTACTCGTATTAATAGTTTACTTAAATAACGCAACATGCGACAAAAAATATTTTCAACCAGAATCCAAAATAATTATGAAACACTATCCAAAGAAAGTTATAAGAGAATTAAGTCCAAATATTCATATACTCAATTCGAAAAAATATATAAACACTAATCTTGAAGGATTCAAATTAAATAGAATAAATACAAAAAAGAATGATGAGAAAAATAAAGGATATACAGTTTTTCAAAATACAGGCTTAGCTCAGAGCGACTTTGGAATACCAGATAGTCCGTATTTTCCATTTAGTGAAAACATTGAAATGAAACCTAGAATCAAAAAGGTATTACCGGAATATATATTTAGCGCATTAAGAAAGAAAAGGTCAGCTTCATTTAAATTAAATCTTAGCAATAAAGAAAGTGAAAACGAAGGAAAAAGCAAAGAAATAAAAACAAATAAGAAAGTCGAGAAAAAAAGAAAACCAGAAAATACTAATGATAAAAGTAAGCTAGGTCATGTTGATATAAAAGTTGATAACAAAATTCGCAAAAATAATGTTACAGACCACACAACGACTGACGTTAGTAAGCCAACAAACGACAGTAACGTCCCAGCACAATCTAATACTAAGATAGTGAAAACTAAAACGACGAATACAAAAAATAAATCCAAACAACAAAATAAAGGTAGTCAAACAAAATCTATTAAAAAGAAAGCAAAACTAAAATCTAGTAAAAATTCAAAAAATGCTACTAAACGTCCAGTCAAACTCAAGTATACAATTAGAAGACCGGCGAAAAAAGAAATAAAAGATAAAAAAGGTAAAGTAAATGTAAAAGGCCCAGGGCAACATGAAAAGAAAGGTACACACCTTTCTTATACATACACAAACGTATTAAATAAATAATTAACAGTATTATGTCAATTAATGTATGCCTTAACCCTTGTAGTTTTAAGGAGCCGACGATTGGTAGCTGGGAGAGACGCGTTGATAGAAGAATACCCATACGTGGTGTCAATACAGAAAGGCGGTGAACACTGGTGTGCCGGCGCATTACTCAATCCACGACTGGTTATTACGACGGCCAATTGTATTTGGAAGTGAGTATGTTGATAAGACAGAACTATAATCCGTATAGATCTTAAAAATTCAACAAGTTTTGTCGAAATTATCACAGAAAAGCGCAACAATTTGAAACATTGAATCAGTTAATCGAATTTAATTCCTAGTATGAGTGCTTTTGGATATCAGACTGGTCTTATAATAGGGTCAATTATTAATTTGTTAAAATTTCCTGAATACTAAACTCCGATTCCCGTATACACACTTGTGCCAAATATTTTCTTCCTGGTCTTCTGCCAAATTAAAAATTAATAAACGTCTACCTATCTATTGACCATATTGTCTCTGGTTTCCTCAGGATGGTGTGATCACATGTGGTGTTGTAATAAAAAAACTACTACACCAAATTGAATCCAGGTTTCACATTCCTAAAAGCCAGGTTTAAAAAACTGGTATATTTCTTTATTTTGTTATGCCATCTAGATGTGTTCTATTGTGTTGGTTTTCCTACTTCTAAAATCCATGCATACGAAGCAGCGGGCAAAAAGTTAGCTTAAGAGAATTACTATAATTATTTATTTATTCAAACTTTATTGCACCATTTATAAAATAACAAATACAGTTAATTTTAATGAGAAGTGATACAAAAGATTATTATTATCGCTAATCAATCTCTTCCAGACAACCTTTGGGTAGAGGGCATTGAGAAAAAAGATAAAGGGTAGGTGGCGCACTGTTATATAGATACTAATTTGTATTAATTTAAAATCTATGGTCTGATCACAGAAGTAGTACAAGTTAATCAATTGCACAATTCTATCAAGTAAGACCTCATTGGTAACAATTCTTCACCAATTCTCCTCTCCTCCCTCCCGTACTATGTTTCGGGTACTGCTAAATTGACTGAGGAGCTTCTAAACAAGCTGGAACGTTTACAAAACCTAGCTATTAGGTTCATCTTTGGTCTTCGTAAATACGATCACGTGTCTGCCTTTCGCAACCAGTTAAAGTGGCTCCCTATCCGACTTCGACGTGATATGCACACCCCAATTCTCCATCGTACCTCCGCTCCCGGTTTAAATTATTACCACCACCAGTCCGTCCTAAACGCTCCTGTCAACTGCAATCCAGGATGCTTGAACTTCCTGTGTGTAGGACACACTTTATGGGCAACTCTTTCTCGTATCGAGCTGTCCAGTTATGGAACAAACTCCCTTCCCACATATAAGAGAGTCCCTCTATTACCTCTTTCAAGAAGAGGTTAAAATCACATTTTCTTTCCCTTGAGTAATATTTTTTTTTTTTGTATTTTTCTAATTGAACTCTCAAATCTTAAAATCTCAAATCATTAAACGAAATTTCTAATGTAAGTAGTATATTAATTTATTTTAACATATACTATATAAGTAGGTAGGTATTGTATATATTTATAGTGTATGTATTTATGTAATATTTTATTATATATTTTAATATTTAATTTAATTGTATATTTGTTTATGTATTAATAGTTGTAGCACTTCAGCTGCCCGCTAACGAAATGCTTTCTTACTGTACTAGGTTGACTGGAAGAGATCTCTGTCAGAGATAAGTCCACCCTTGCTCACAACATTTATAAATAGATTATTTTATATGTAACTTACAAGTGCAATAAAGAATATATATAAATTGTGTCTTACATCTAGATCCAGCCGCGTGAGTCGTTTACGAGTACGCGCGGGTTCTCGATACGTTGAACAAGGCGGCCAAGTGGCCAAGATAAAAGAGGTGATGAAGCACCCTAGATGGAGTATCAGGAAGGCCCCCGATAACGACGTGGCACTTATACTGCTCGATAGAAATATTAGGTAAGAGCTAATTAGATATCTACATCTAAATGTACTTAAGTATCATCATTATATTACACATTAACTGTCCATTGCTGAATAAAGGTTTTGCCAGTAGTTGCCACTCTTGATAGACGGGTTGGCAAACACAATTAGGTTTTGGTGATATTTTAAGAGAGACGATGCTGTCCATCTCTCGACTAAGTTTCTTTAGTCACCTCTTACGACATCCATGGGAAAGGAAGGTATGAAGGTATCTATTCTATGCCGGAAATACGATATTTACAGATCCCAGATTTACCCATTTTTTTATACAACTTAGAATGACAAACAAGCTGACGGCCCACCTGATGGAAAGTGGTAATCGTCGCCTATAGACATGAGCAGTACCATGGATATAACAGAGTATACTGTTTCGCCCATGATATCTCCCATGCGATGCCATTCCTGAGGACTCAGATGTTATTCCTCTGTACCCAGTAAATTTACGTACCCTTCCCTAATATACGTCATAAATAAATAAATATAATATTTTTTGTCTTTTCTGTTGTATGTAAAATCAATATTCAGAGTTTATCTCCTAGTAAATCATAAAATTGTAAAATAATAGATTAGATTGTTATAAAGAAAGGTTCCAAGGCAGTTTGGCTTCCACTGATTACCTGCAATGCATTTAAAGTCGTCACTCCATACAGTGTAGGGTCATCACTGCGGTTGCCCGTACGGGGTCGCCACTCAAGAACCTTTCTTCCCCATCGGTTGTCGGTTCTTCGGTCTATGCGACCATCCCATTGCCACTTCAGCTTGCTTATCTTTACTTGCATACGCACTGCAAAAGGCGCAGCTTCAAATCTGCTGCAAACTTGACGGTAAACTTGATTGTGTGAGACCATCTGTTATTCAGAAGCCTACATCAGACATCTATGATAATATTTTAAATACACAATCGGGACTTAACGCAATGTAAAAGCTTTTACAGGTAAATAGTACCTATCTACATATACATATACTACATACCTGTTTCTTTATTGCTGTTGTTTCGATGTGGATTGCACCACGTCGCGGTCACGACAGACGCAGTCTCCGGGACAACGCGGGCTGCCAAATGAAGACGCGAAAGTTTAAACTTAACTAAGATAATATCACGTGCTCAAGTTTGACGCATTACTCAGATTCTCCGATGCTGTACATGGTGTAGACCTGCCAAATCGCATCATGATGCCTGCCTTCGAAGATGCCTGGGTCACTAGCTGGGGGTCTGAACGTGTTAGTAACTTTAGTTTCCACCGGATGCTTATATAGGCGATGTAGACTAAATTTTTTTAATAATGATGGAATGACAATCCTGCTTCGCTGTCGTTTATACTGGCAAGATACCGATGAATAGATAAAGTCAGATCGATAGACGCATCGTGATGAATTCACCAAGAATTAGACACAGTTTTAGCAATGAGTCTGCTTTTTTTTATGGATGATAATGGAATGGTTACCCCGCCTGCGCTATTGGTTTACGCTGGCGGAACACCAGTGATAGATGACAAATGTGGATGAAAGCAGGTCAGTTAGCCCATCGTAACGAATTTCACAAGAATTAACCACGATGGTTTCCAGGGGGAACCGCGTGGAGATGGACCTGATAGGGTATATTGTTAGTAATGGGCTTGTTAGATCCCATTATTAATAATCCCTTCCCGCTGCATTATGGGGCTGCTGGTCTCTATCACTAAAATCCGGGGGAAACGGATTGTTAGCAATGCGGACTACCACTCCCATTGCTAGTTTTTATGACTCTAGGTCAACGGGATGTACCTTATAGGTTTTGATTCCTTTTGCAAAGTCAAAATATGCGATATAAACGGAACAAAAACGGCCGTATCTTTTGATTGCGTCGATTTAGAAGCTTGATTTTTTTACTACTTTAAGAGATTATAGACCTGAGTATATGGTGATAATTTCAACTTGATACCTCCACGCGTTCCCAAGAAAAAGGAACCAGACGAACGGACGGACAGACAACGAAGTGATCATATAAGGGTTAAATTTTTCATTTGGAGATACGGAACCTTAGAAATGACTCCGGCGACGAATATAGTTTATTTCAAAGCTAAGTAACAACTCGCAGAGAAGTCTAATTATAAATATTTATTTATTTATTTATTCATTAGTACAAATATGTGTAACAACTCTCTCCCAGCAGAGAATACTCGAATGCGGTAATTATATAATATCATTTATATAAACGAATATATATATGAATAACAGCACGAAATTGAGAATAATATAAAGTGAATAATATAAAATAATATAAAAAAATATCATTTTTTTATCAGCGTGACGGTATATACGACAAGAAGGACATGACGCTGCAAGTGTATCACGCTCGCCTGATGGACCGGGACAAATGTAACAATGTTACGCAGCGCTTCGGAGTCACTGTCACGGAAAATTTCATCTGTCTGTCCCAGACAGGCAGGCAAGCACCTTGCACGGTGAGACCATCTTTTACTAGCTATTACCCGTGGATTTACTCACGTCAATCAGAACAATATAATAATTTATTTGCTCGAAATGTGGTACAAATGATCTTAAATGATAACAGATACCAAAGGGAGACTTTTACAAAAGTCGATTGCTTGGGTACCTCTGTTCCAATTGTGTTTCAACCGTGAAGCAGTTGTGTTTGCATGGCTGTGTTTCGGTTTGAAGGATGGGATATGGCGTGAATTTACTGGGTACATAGGAATAACACCCGAGTCCTCAGGAATGACAACGCATGGGGGGTATCATGGGCGAAACAGTATACTTTGTTATGTCCATGGTACTGCTCATGTCTATAGGCGACGGTTACCACTTTTTATCAGGTGGGCCGTCAGCTTGTTTGCCATTCTAAGTTGTATAAAAAAAAAGAGCTACATATTTCGCCTTATCTAAAGGCATGCAAATTTTGTCTCAGCACATGTTAATTACTTTTTAACAAACAATATAATGAATTCAATCACAACCTGAATTATCAGTTACGGCGAATGCGAAATGATAGCAATAGGATTAAAATCTCTTGTCCCCGCATCACGGTTCATCATTTTCTCAGCCATTATCTGTCCACTACCGAACCACAGATAATATAATACTATACTAGACCGAACATAGGCCTTCTCCATAGACTGCCATAAGCAACAGTCCTGAGCCACCTGCATCCACTGATTCCTTGCAATGCATTAGAGGTCGTCACTGCATCTAGTGAGAGGTCATCCTACGCTGCGTTTCTCCGTACGGGATCACCACTCAAGAACCTTTCTTCCACATCGAGATTAATTTCTGATAAATTAATTACGATAGGTAAGCTTACTTGCTGGCTTCATTCTCACTATCATTCTTTCCTAGTACCGGAGGGAAAGGAATTGTTAGTAATGGGGTCTAACTGCCCCATTGCTAGCATTATACACCTATTAGTTTGCGCTCTACGCGGTTCCTTCTTGCAACAATCATAGTTAATTCTTGTGGATTTCTTTTAATTTGGTACACTTAATTAAACAAGGTGTTAATTCGGGCAACAAATCATAGGCATAAAAATGCTAAGGATGATGAATGACGAATCAACAATGATGAATGAATATTGCAATTTATTTAATGTAAATGTAAATTAGACTCTCTTTTCCGCGTTTAGCCTCTCATTTGGGCCCTTGTGCGTATGAGTCGTGGCTAGTACAACTAGCCTAGCTCCGCCCAAAAGCACAGAAGCTGGGATCTTCACAGGCCTCACGGAGCGACATCACCATTCCGAGGATCTAAACGTTGAGGACAGCTTCACGTTCCAGAATATATAAATGTAAACCATTAATAATTTATTGGCAGCGCGACACCGGGGCACCAGCTGTCAGCGATGGTGTCATATGGGGTCTGGCATCGTGGGGTATTCGAAAACTGTGAGTTGTTATAATTATTTACAGAGTAGTTTCAGAGAATTTTTTTCCGGGAACACTCAGGCCGTGGAATAAGCTTCTTATCAAGATTTTTACTAGAGACTACAGCATGGGATTCTTCAAAAAGGGTATATTAAGATTTCTTCAGGTTCGGCAACGCGCACGTGACACCCGTGGTGTTGTAGGCGTCCATAGGCTACAGTGACTGTTTACCATAAGATGGACTGTATGCTTGTTTACTACCTTTGTGGTATAAAAAAAATTATTCGCTTATAGCAGGTGACAAGCGTTAGCATATTTAGAACTAGCTGTATCCTGCGGCTTAGCCCGCGTGTATCAGTACACAAAGTATGCTATGTGCTAAGTTAGTATACGACCTACCCGTGTACTAAATTTCAATCAAATCTGTTCAGTAGTTTTTGCGTGAAAGAGCAACAAACAAGAATGCATACATCCATCGGTACAAATTTTCATCTTTATCATATTTATATGATTCTTTTTTGGAATGATTGGATTAGCATTCCCTAATATAACAATCGAAAATTTAATTCCTCAATTTGGAATTTTTTTTAATGTCCTTCTTTTGAAAATCACTTAGAAAATAGTGTCTAAATATTTTTAAGTAGTATAGGGCAGTGAAATTAGAGACAATATATGGGGGCAAACACATAGTCCTTTAGAATCGCAACACATAAATCACCACGGTCTTCAGATATATCAACAAATGAGCGACACAGTGTATCCTCTATGTCCATTATACAATTCATGTATGTAAACGACGGTTACCATTTTCCATCAGATAAGTCATCAGCTTGTCATTTCGAAATAAAAAAAAGTTTTACAAACGTCTTGCTTATTCAGGTGCGGCACGGAGCGGTATCCCGCGGTGTTCTCGTACCTCGCGTCGAATAGCAATATGGACTTTATTTTGAACGCCACAAGACTTTTAATGGCTGACGAGCGGTTTTATCCGTTCCCCGACCATTACCCGTACGTTCCAGCTACGACCTCCGTCGCAACTACAACAGCGTTCTCATTTTAAACTTTAAATTATGTATTATGAAGTTCTATAATAAAAATCTTTAAAAATAAACTATATATTTTTTTTTATTGTTAAAAGTTTCGTATGTAAACATTCATCATCATCATATCAGCCTTTAACTGTCCACTGCTGGACATAAGCCTCCTCTTAGGGTATTTTGCCAGTAATTGCCACGCTTGGCGAGCTGGCAACTGCAGTTAGGTTTTAGAGATGTTTTAAGAGGGGCGTACATATTATATTTTAATAACTACCGGTTTAACTTACATGTAATTAGATCGAAAAAGCTCGACTAGTTTCGGAATCAATTCGTGATCCTTAGTCATGAGTGACTGTGACGCGATCAAGAGCCGCCTAATTTCGATTTTGAAATCTGAGTTTGATTCCAATACTAGTCGCGCTTTCTCGATCTAATTACACGTAACTTAAACCGATAGTTTTTACGTTAAAATATATCTCTTTTATTTTTATGACAAGACTAGCTTTTGCCCGCTACTTCGTATGGAATTTAGAAGTAGGAAAATCAATTAAATAAACCACTGCTAGATGGCATTACAAGATAAACCACACAAAATTGTAAGTTAGACCTTCAGCAACAGAACTGTGAAAACCACATCCAATTTGATGCAGTAATTTTTGCGTGATGCGACAACAAACTTATAGACAGACAGACATAATTTCTAATAAATATTATTTTAGTATCTAATAGTCTTATTTGGGGAAAGAGATTGTTAGTAATGGGGAGGTTATAGACGCGTTCATAAGCTACGGTAACCGCTTACCATCAGGTGGGCCGTATGTTTGCTTGTCACCTTAGTGGCATAAAAAAAAAGGTTAGTCTCCATTGTTATCAATATACCCTATCAGGTCGATTTCCACCCGGTTCCCGCTGGAAACTATCGTGACTAATTTATCGTTGAATTCGTCATGATGTGCCAACTGACCGGCTGTTTCATCCTCACCAGTCATCCCTCACTGGTGCCCCGCCAGTGTATACCGATAGCGCAGGCGAAGTTCCCATTTCATTATCATTCATTAAAAAAAGTAGTCTCATTAAGATTCCTTTTATAAATTTCATTTATTTATTTTTATTTAATTCTATATTGTACACACCAGTTATAAGAATATGTCAGAGGTAATCAAATGTACAAAGGCGAGCTTAACTCTAATAGAGTTCTCTTCCATCGAACCAAAAATGGAAAGGAGTTGTGCCTACATGGCTGTGTTTCGGTTTGAAAGGTGGAATATGGCGTGAATTTACAGGGTACAGAGGAATAACACCTGAGTCCTCAGGAATAGCAACGCATGGGGGGTATCGTGGGCGAAACAGTATACTCTGTTATGTCCATGGTACTGCTCACGTCTATAGGCGACGGTTACCACTTTACATCAGGTGGGCCGTCAGCTTGTTTGCCATTCTAAGTTGTATAAAAAAAAACAATGTCAATTTTACTTAAACATCTTCCACGTACAAACTAGTTATAATTTTATTAGATTTATTGTATTGTATTGTAAAAATCTTTATTGTACATAAGTCAGATTAAATACTAGTAAATGATTTAGTATACAATGGCGGACTTATCCCATAAAGGGATCTCTTACAGTCAACCTTTGAGAAGCTGAAAGAAAACTGTAGAATGTATAAGGGTAATAACCGTACAATTAAATATAAACTAAATAATACCCAGTAAAAAAAAAAATTGAATATATAACACAATAAAAACAGCTCTATATACCTACATATGTAAATAATAAAAGTAAATTAATAATAATATAACATTAATAAATAAAAACTTATACACATACACATACATATATACACATATACACACATACATATACATATACATATATATACATACATACACATACATATATACACTCCTACATACACATACATGTATACATAATAAATACATATATTCACAATTGGCTCAATGAAGAGGGATTTTCAAAATAAAATTTTATGATACCTGCTTTAAAAGATTTCAGCGACTGTGCCATCTTTATTATTAGGAAGTGAGAGACGTGCAGCATGTACAGTAAATGACATGGCATAGCTTTGAGTATTAAAACAAGGCAAATCTATAATGAAGTCATTACTGCATCTCAGGCGAACATCAATTTCGCGAAATTTGAATCTTTCCTGAAGGTAATGTATTTATAAGATTTATAAGATTTATTGGGAAGTAGGAATGGGTAATATACAGTAATATCTATATATCGGGTTAATAAAGAATATATATCGATTCGGTTATTCAATATATTATATAACATCGAAATGAATACGAATATCCAAATGCTGTGGGTATTGTGGGGTATTGTGTGGTGATATTGTGGGGAGATAATACTCACCAATGTTTATAATATATGTCAACTTTTATAATTAAGTTTTAAAAACAAGCAGACAAACAAACATTTTGTTATATATATATATATATATATATATATATATATATATATATATATATATATATATATATATATATTTATATCATGACGCTTGGTCACGGGACTCGCAATATTCGCGCGGAGGTCGCGCAGGCGCTTTGTGATTGTTGGCTGCGCGCGCATCCCGCACATGGGCCAGCGACTAGAGAGAGTGTTTTGTTAACTTGGACAATTTGAAAATTTGTTTTATTGTAAAATAATTGTTGTTTTTTTTTTAATTATTGATTAAATTTATTTACAAGATGAACCCTACTATCATTCCTACAATATTGATATAATGGTAATGATCTTTATATCACCATCAATGTCCAGAGGAAACCAATATATAGATATCAGACCGGTATCGATATTACCCATCCCTATTGGGAAGTTTAAAATGAAATAAAAAAAAAATCAGTATATGAGCATATTTAATATTTTCTTTTTCAAAATTGTAAAACTCACATTTTGAAATTGCAAAATTATAACTAAATTCTCATATCGTTAATAGTAACAATCGCCATTTTGTATTTCTCTCCATTTTTTTTTTTGTATTTCTCTCAAACTAATAATAATAATTGTAAACCATTTATACATCTATAATAATAATAATATATTTTAATGTCTAACAAATTCATTTTCTCAACGTATTACCACCATTTCGTTTTTTTTTTCGTTATCCCAACATCAACTTTCACATATTTCTAATCAACTTTTTTTATAATATTCTAAACATACTTTTTACAATTTCCCGTAATTATACAATGACTACAGCATTTTCTATCGCACCGATGATGTTCGTTTTAGAAAAATATTGGAATGACTTGTAAAACGAAGCTGAATTAAACTAAACTAAATGTTACCATAAGAATAAATAAATAGATTAAATCCTATATTGGTGAATTCAATATGGCGCGCTAACGACTACCTTGTATTTAATAGTTAAATTAATCAAGGCTTGTGAACACCAATAAACTGAGTTTTGACCATTTTGTGTTGCTTGCACACGCATGAAAGGAAAATTATGTTGCTTCTTTTATGTACTTTTCTTTTTTTTTATTATATATATATTCTTTTATTTTTTTTTATGTATACCTATCTATGTCTGACGTTGTCTGTTCTAAGAACGTACGTTCGTCGCGTCGTATTAAAATCTCTTAAATGACAATGGAATTTGTGGTAACCCTCCCAACCAATACGAGGTTTGAAAGAAAGAAGGATACATTTTGGCGTGTTCACAATGGAAATTATATTAATGGTGGTTTTACTCGATTTATTTATTCTTATGGTGTAACATGAAAACCATTAATTAACCATACAGTACAATAAAATTAATTCACCAATTCCATACATGTACCGAAATCAAATTGTTTCTTTGGCAATTTTAATATTCAAAAGTGAATTTACAATTTTTAATTAAAAACTGGCATAAGCTTTATTCTATTGAGAAAAACTGGCAAAATTCGTGAAACTATTATACATTTTGGTTGCGTCAATGTTGCTTTATTACATTCACTGCCGAATATATGTGTGGTGTAATTCTAAGGCCTACCATGAAATATTTTCAGAAATTTCGGGGCCTAACGAAAGACAAATTTGATGGTAAAATTACAAAAACAATGTTAAAATATCGTTCCTTTAGACTATTATGGTAAGATTTATGACGAACGAAACGTTAAGCTCCATTTACTAGGTATAAACAAAAACACGAAATTGAGTTTGAAAATTCAGAAATTCATTTCATGGTAGACCCCCTTGCCTCCATTAATAGGGGCAGATTCTTTTTATTCCATATATATCAACTAGTAGGAATGCTTTCATGGGTATATTACCGCCTGGGTTCTATATTATAAAACATATCATTATAATAAATATGTTTTATAATCAGGTTACCATATTAAAAATTTAAACTTCAAGTGTAGAGATTATAAATAAATATTTAATCAAATGGTTTTTGATTCTGATGTTTTTACAATTCGCGAACTTTTTTAATATAGGACTTAGGCGTTTGAGATACATTTATACATATAATATAATCACATAACATGTAAGCCCGGGTCCATACTAGTGTCGCTAGTGTCGCTCTCGATCCGCTCTCGGTCTGATAAAATTTTATTACTTAAGAAACAATGTGTGTTCACACTACAATCCAGTCCCGTTCCAATCGATCTCGAACTGTTTGTACTGTCCATACCGAGAGCGACCAACTGTAGTGTAGATTCGGCTTAATTTGTAACTAACTGTATTGTAATCATAGAGTCGTCATAGAATTGGACTCTAAATCGTGTAATTTAATGTTACCCATCAGCAGTGAATGTAATAGTCGCATATTTTTATCAATTAGTTGAAAATATGTCTTAGTCTTTGAAATTGCTATATTATCAAATATAACACAGAAATTTGAACTTTAAGCCAATAGAAATAGAATTGTTTATTTCTGACAACCGATTTCAAAGAGAGGACTTATTTTTTGTAAACCTTTCCAGCGCCTTTATGGATATTAGAGTGATTTATACATTTGGAAATATTATGAACAATAAAATTAGTAGCAAATTATTAAGCGTTTACGACGTAATTATTCTATGTAAGTTTAAAACTTAAACTAGATATACAGATAATCGGAAAATTTGACTATAACTGGCCGAGATGTGAATGTTTAAAACTAATGTTAACAAATTAAACAAAACATAACAGGACGAGGTATTTGCACTTGATTTTATAAAAAAAAAAAAAAAAAAAACTCGTAGGCCGAACATCCGAAAGTATATTAATCTGACAGATATTTTACAAAATTGAACCTTATTTTGTACACCACAAGCAGTATTTCTAACATTACAACCTACCTACAGTACTTGGCCATAAAATCTATGGTAACAAATAGATATACGCACGAACGCGCGTTCAATATAATGATGTATACGAAAAAAAAAGTGATAGAAATATATAAATGAAGATAATTTTGGATGGAGCTGATCACCAAACTATATTAAAATTTAATATATACTTAGCTCTTTTAAATAAGAATATATAAATTAGAAATATATTATTAATAAGTACAACTACAGCACTATTCGTATAATACAAAACAACAAATAAATTCGTGCCTCTTAACACTAGAATGCCACTTTCGAATCTAAGTGTAGACTCTGTCTTAACTATGTGAAATGTACTTCGAACTCTGTATTATAACGCAGATAGGTATACCTATTCAGACACCTTCACAAAGCATGATTTCGACATTTAAACCACTAAGGCCGGATCGACATTATAGTGCCGATCTCGATCCACTCTCGGTTTGATAAAATATTATTACATAAAAGACATTATGTGTGGATACACTACAATCCTGTCCTATTTCGATCAATCTCGAACTGTTTGTATTGACCATACCAAGAGCGAAGTTGAAGCGAACTGAGAAAAGCACTATAGTGGAGTTCCGCCCTAACTATGTAATCTATAACCATCGCACCAGGCAAGAAAAAAATTAACCTATAGGTACACTAAAATCTCCCTGATTTTTTTCTTAATTCTAAATATACACAAAAATAATTTTGTACTCTTCCAACGAGTTTCAAATGGCAACACGCTTTAGTTATTATTTTTTTCTTTCATTTTTTTTTTTACATTAATTATGGCAGCTTTGTACGATCGCCGAAATAGACAATTGGACTTAGGAGATACTTACCATATTTTATTCTCTATAGCTTGGACAAAGACGAGAATTAGAAATTGGTAAGTGGGCAACACTGTCGAACGCATAAACAAGCACCATACATTTAAACATTGAAACAGTGTTGCTAACTCAGCAAATAAGTAATTGTTTTTTTAAAACAATTCTTATATAATATCATAGATAATTTAACCGCGTTAAGTTCTAATTGAAGTTATAACTGTATTTTTTTTTTTTAAATAATAATCGAATGTTGCATCGCATTTTCTATTCAAGTAAGTATTGAGCACTAATTAAAAATCGTCTGTAATTACAAATTATCTAGTAATGATAATTAAAAAAAAATATTAACTATCTATGGATTGAATTCTCATTACTGATTTACCCATAATTTTAATATTTAAAAAATATAAGAAATAAAATGGCTACTCATTAATCTTTTTTTGCCAATACTCGTAATAAACTGTCGAAGATAATAATAATAATGTTTTATATTTGAATTTATAACTTTTAAACTTTTGTCAATAATATTTAACCATGGTTATTTAAAACCGAAAATTCAGTCAAATCCCATAAATGTTTAATCAATTCTCACCCCAAACAACTCACATATTAAAAATATCCGAATTTAAATCCGAATATGTCTGTCAGTGACAATTTGGGTAAATCCTAGGCCTGGTTAAGAAGCAAGGCTTCTAATTCATCAGCTGATCGAAGCAAGAAGGCTGCAGACTCACGGTAACCGGTGATGAGCTGTCTGACAGCGCCGACTTCTGCACCGGATAGCTTGTGGGATAGAAGCGAGGACTTGGAGGTAGACGAAGCCGCGGTACCAGGCAACGATGAAGAGGTAGAGGTGGCGTGTAGCGGAGTCGACGTCGACGTCTTCAGTGATAGGTCTGTTGGTGCTAAAATTATGATTAGTTAATAATTTTTTATACAACTTGCGATGGTATGCTCGTCAAAATATGGGCATTTAGAGCGTTTTGTACACGTGGTCCTACCTGGAGACTACCATGCCTATTTCCCAGTTAATAAATCACAAGGAATTAACTAACCTGACTTTATCCTCACCTATCATCCCAAACTGATACACCATCAGCATACCAATAGCACAGTTCTCTTTGCACAAATCTATTGGCATCCCCCTAAAATGCCTCTGCAGGGACTCAATGTTCAGGTTCCTTATGGCAGTCTATGGGGGAGGCCTATGTTCCACAGTGGACATTTAACGGCTGACATGATGTTGATGATAAAAATGCCACTGAATTAAGGATTAAAGAGTCCAGTATTTTATGTCTTACTAGTTTTTACTCGAAACTTTATCTGCGTGACCGAGATATGTCGATTAGCCGGGGGAGTAGCCTATGACCTTTTCTATCTCCAATAGTAACTGTACATTTAATTACAATTGGTCGAGCCGTTAAAATGCCAAGATGTAACAACAAACAAACTCATTTTCATATTTATAATATTATTAGCGACCCGCCCCGGCTTCGCACGGGTGGAATGCTAAAAAATGTGTTAATTTACATCACATTAGAAACTTCTAAAAGTTTCTCAACTATATTATGCATGTATTATACATATAAATCTATTAAAAAAACGCTTAAAATCCGGTTTGTAGTTTTAAAGATCTAATACATATACATAGGGGCAGACAGAAGGAAGCGATTCTGTTTTATACTATGTAGGGACTAAGGATACTTTGACAAATTATTTAGTTCAAAATTTTTAAATTTGTAACATGAAACTATGGCTCACTATACGTTTTGGGAAATTGTAAGTGAAGTGAGCAATATATACATAAATAAATATAAAATGAGCTATATTAACCTGTGAGACTGGTGGGAAACGTATGCGTATGCGCTGCCATAGCGGACAATAAAGCGCTTTGGTACGCTGCCATCGCTGCATTCACTCCTACGCCTGGACAAATAAAAAACACAATTAATACTCTTTAAAACTAGTTATATCTCGCGAATCCGCCTCGAATCTCGTGAATCAAAACATAATCCTATGTGCTAAGTTAGGATATGACCTACCCATGCACCAAATTTCATTCAAATCCGTTCAGTAGTTTTTGCGTGAAATTGTAACAAACATCCATAATTATAAACTTTCGCTTTAGGATTCTTATATACTTTATTCCACTTTATTAAAATTATTTTAGATTTTTTTTTTATACAACTTAGAATGGCATTTATTAGTTATTTAAAATTTCCAAGTTTGTAAAAAGAACCTATAGCTCACTACACATTTTGGAAAACTGTAAGTGAAGTGAGCAATTTATATATAAATAAAAGATTACTGCATTATTTTAATTTTATAGTGAATTACTTACCACCGGGTGGTAAAGCGGACAATGTGGACAGCAGCGCGCTGTTTGTAAGCGCTGAAGCTGGATTCGTGCTGGAACTGGAATATAACAATGACAATCATGAATCATCTTAATTTGTGTTATATTAGATACACAAATTTCCAGTCGCCCATAATCAAATATAATAACTAGCAATCCGCCCCGGCTTTGCATGGGTAAATAGGATTTTCTTTCGAGGTTTTTTCCAGAGACTACAGCATCATGGAACTTAAAAAAGGGGGTAAAGATGTTTCTTCAGCGTCAACAAAGCGCCTAGTATTCCAGACGGTCATAGGCTACGGTAACCGCTTACGATTAGATGGGCCGTATGCTTGTTTGCCAACGCAGTGGTATAAAAAAAAAATTATTAATAAGAGAACCTTTATTATTTTATCATTAAAACTGTTCCACAAAAAAAAACCTAAATTCAATTGTGACAAAACCATTTATTTTGATTTCAAAAGTAAATTATTGAACCGATTTTGATAAAATCTGCAAGTATATACTTTCGTGTTTTGTATTTTATGTCAGAATTATGTGATAAGAAACTAAAAAAAAAATTTGAATTCAATTTTTGAAGTCGATTGAAAATATAAAGATATAAAGGTAGTCTAAAAGGGAATTACACAAAGGAAACCTTTATAGGCGAATTAACCATGACATTGGATCTCTGTATTAAATTTTTAATGTTTCTCACCTTTGTCTTCCAAATGTTTGTGGCGTTCCGAATGTGTTCGGGAATGAAGGTCTAAACAATGGCGCCGGTGAAGATGCAGGACTGGAAATGAGAAAAATATTATTACAATAAACTATTGGAATAACAAGCAAACAATTAATGGTCGAAAGATGGACAGCAGGAGTAACACATGAGCAATCTTAAAAAAATATATCAAAAGCCTAACTGCGGTTGCCACCCCGCCTGCCAAACATGGCAACTACTGGCAAAATCCCCAAAGCGCCTTACTCTCTTTTGTCAGAAATTACTCTGGTTCTTTTACAAGTTGTAAATGTTATTCTGTACTTTCGACTACCAACAGTAAAACAAACATTAATTTGAAGACTAGGAAAGCATAACCTACCTAGCAGTCTTACTCCCGGCGTTTCCATTCGCATTGTCCAACTTCAAGCTATTGTTGTTCAACAACGTATTCTCCATCGTGGGGCTCGCTGATGGCCTGGTAGTGTCCGCTGCAGCTTTGCTGTGTCCCGCTGTCGATAAAGATGTGGTGCTTGTGGTAGTAGCTGGAGTAGACGCTGGGCTACTAATGGCACCGCTGTACAAACTGAGAAACGATGAGGCGACGGCAGAGGTCGCTGTTGTGTCGATTGCCTGTTAAGAAAATTTTTGTTGATATCAACTAGAAAGGAAGATATTGGGTGAGGATAAGATATGGCAGTGAAATTTCAAGGTATTGCCACTTTACATACACAAACATAGTACATGAATATAAAATGGCCGATACCATAAAATGGCGGATAAAAGCTTTTCTTTAAAAATGTTTATAAACAGATTTGTCTTATTTTTGCTAAGTTTACCACTACAAACTTTTGGAGGGAACAATAAAGAGTATCAATTTATATATTTAATAAATAATATATATATATTATACTTTTGTGCAATATAGGTGTTTGTATTTTATGTACGTAAAAATTATGAATTCACTATTGCGCCACCTACCCAATTCTATCTGTTCTCCTTTTATCAAAGATTGTCTGTAAGAGATTTTTCTAGCGATAAGACCGCCTTTTGTACCCTTACGTATATATTTTAATCTGTACTTTATGCTACTGTATTGGACTTGAATTTTCTAATTGTCATTGTATATTTTTATGTTCCTGGTGCAACAAAGAGTTAAATAAATAATTAATATTTGCGCTCACCATGGGTGTGGGTACAGTTGGCATCGGTTGGCTGACAGGATCCAGGCCGAGCCGCATGCGTTTAGCGTTGAGGCTTTCGTTCTCGCAGGCCTGCGCCAAAATGTGTTCCGCTTGCACCGAGGTCAGGTGTGCCGGCGTCGGCCGCACCTGGAACAGGGCGGAACTGGTTATGTTTCTTGTTCACTAGCTAAAATATTGACGGGCACGAAATTATCGTATAGGTTAGTATACAATAAAAAAAACAAATTTCTTTATAAATGAGGACACTTGCACTCTTCCACAAAAGCCTATGTTGTGCTAAACTTAACACGCAGTGGTGTTAGGTGTTCTGTACTAGAGAAGAGTTTCAAAGAATTTCAGATCCTACTAAATGTCAATAACCTACAGCATCAATATTATAGTATTTGAAGGCTTACAATTTACGCTGTGTGGTCCCGGCGTAGAATGGGCCACTTCTTTTCTCGTAGGTGTCGTAAGAGGCTACGAAGAGAACTTAATGGTCACAGTGCACAGAGATAAGCAAAAGCGTCCCTCTTTTAACATCACCAATGCGTAACTACGGTTGCCAACCCATCTGCCAAGCATGGCAACTGCTATCAAAGTCTCTCTTATGTGGGATGTCTATGTTCAGCAGTGGACAGTTAACGGCTTATATGATGATGATGATTTTAGGTTTTATGTTTCAGTGACCATAATCTGATTCTGAACAGACCTGACTTCTCGTCCTCCACTAGTACCATTCCATTATACACCATGAACATAGGTGATTTGGCCATTTCATATTCATTCACCAAAAGAATCCTGATCCTCTAAATTAAGTACAATGAGCAAAACATTAGAATTTAAATGGGTATTTATGAATTATTAAAAGATCGGACCCTCACCGCTGTATCCCATGCGCTGCCAGTACCCGGCGTGCTGCCCCCGTTTCCCGTCGTGGGACCATCACCACGGACCTTCTTATTCCTTCTGCAGCTCTTCAAGTACGTTCTAATTCGCTTTCTAGCACGCTCGGCAAACTCCGGGAATTGTCGGGTGCACGAGTCGATAATAGCTTGAATCTTCTCCTTCGGCTGTTTCGATATAGGTACTATCCTGTCTAAGTTCTCATCAACGAATAGTCGAACGAACATCTGGAAACAATACAATATCAAAATAAAATACATCAATACAAACTGAAACTTGTTGACCAACTTCACAACTACGTGGTTGTGAAGAATTAGCAATAGGTATAACTTGTCAGATTCACTCCCATGTGGTTCATTAACTGGTATCTTGTCAGCGCAAGTAGGAAAAGCATTCCATTTTCACCTATTAAAAAATATCCTATGTGACCATCTTTCTTTGTTATAAGCTGAAAATACCATCGCAATCACTGAAGTTGTATACTATTCCTTCCTACAGTTACATCACATTCTGGATATCAAATTAGAAACATCTACGTTGCGGTAGACTGAGTCGTAAGTGGGACGACTATTTGAGTAGTAGACCCAATTTAGCTTTAAATTGAGACATATTAAGACGTAAAAGAGGAAACCTATTCCTTTGTGCAACCATTAGATACAGGCTTATAAAAAAATAGAAATACAGTCACTCACATTAAAAGCCTTGAGCCGCTCAGGATCGTGATGTTGCGGATCAACGCGATCGTCGCTGTCATCATCAGACGCGCCACCATCGTCGTCGTCCTTCGTCCGATCAGAGGATGACGTCTCGTCGTGAGTCGATGCTTGTTCAGCGCCAGGAGTTGCTGAACCGACGTGAATTGGGCTCTGCGGAGAAAGAATAGCGTAAGTAAATTAATATATCAATTATAGAACAATCGACATTGTGATACTAGGTATGCACAAAATTCGACTGCATAAGTTCATCAGACTCACTTGTGTTTCTGCCGCCCATCAGGTGTTTTTTGTTTCTTTTTTGTTAAGGGTGAAAATGAAATAGGTAGTCCTGTTTGTGCTATCGGTATATGCTGGCAAAGCACCCGTGAAAGGTTATAGATGAGGAAGAAAATAGATCAATTACCCATCGCGACTATTTCGCCTAGAATTTACCACAATAGTTTCTAGGGTGAACCACGTAGTGATCGATCTGGTAGGGTATATTACTTGTAATATATAGTATAATATAATTATTTCCTATTACTAACAATCCCTTTCACCCCAATGTGTGTTTGCATGGCTATATTTCGGTTTTAATAGTGGGATATGACACGTAAATGACAAGGTATGGATGTATAGCACTTTAGTCCTCAGGGGTAGCATAAACGTCATAGCAATCATTGATACAGTTCGTGTATATAGGCAATTACCACTTTCATCAAATGGGTCTTCAAATTATTTATCATTTCATTTTATACAAAAAAAAAATACAGGTAAATATACTGAAATTTCATATTTGAACTATTTGCGGTCCACATGTCAACTGACATATATGAAGAAGCGTTCAATTGATTTACTTTTGGGTGTCTCTCCCAGATTTGTAATGTACGTATGTTTCACGGAGACAAAATATATATAAAATAACTTAGTTGTTATCTCTCCTTTGGCTCTTATTCAGCAATGAGATTGAGTTCTGATAGGATAAATAATTCTTTACTGATATTACTTCCAGGTTACTTTATATCTCCTTTGGAAAACACACTATACTAGTATCCCGAGAAGATAGAAACATCGATACAAAAATATCTTAAAATTCTATCCTTGACAGGAAAGATCATGGAAAGGTCGCAGTTTCACAAATTTATCTGCCTGAAAAAGCTCGTCTTTCAATAATAATAATATTACATAAACTATAAGGGATTTTAGTTTCTTAGTTTAATATATAGTATGGTAAAAAATGATGGGTCAACCTTAAAACTCACCGAGTGGCCAGTAGCCAAAGGTGTAGATGGCTTGGGTGGTTTGCTGCCCAGCCCCAAAGCGCTGTGATACGAAGCCCAGAGATCTGCCATACTGTCTGTGCCGCTTTCTGTTATCTCCCCATTTCGACCTGCAAGTACCAGGAAATCATAAGTTAATGAAGTTCATCTAACAACGAAATAATAAGCATTTTTTGGCTACATTATCGGTTCGATTTGCGGAAATATATATATATTTTTTCTGTTTCCATGTTAAAAACAGCTATTTCATTAGTAAGAAAATTAATATCAGACCAAAATGGAAGTAAACTCTACAGATAATAAAAATATCAAATCGGTTCAGAATTAACAAGAATTCCGCATGACATGGGTCCATAGAAAAATACTGAAATATTCTGAAAAATTATTTTTCTGAAGTAGCTTAAAAATAAAAAGCACATACGGAATATATATATTTATATATCATCATCATCATCAGCTGACAAACTGTCCACTGCTGAACATAGGCCTTCCCATAAGGCGGGAGGGGGGGGGGGGGTTGCCAGCAGTTGCCATACTTGCCAGGCGGGTTGACAACTGCAGTATATATATATATATATAGACTATATATTAGACTTTAATACTCCTAAACAGTGAAAATAGCTAACACGTGACGTTATCTACAAGTCGTTTTTAGACAGAAATATTAGAATATATATATATCTAAAAATATATGTATAACTCCATACAAAATTATAACTGTCCGAAATACAATTAAACTAAATATTTCTGTCATTAATGCCAGTTGTGTACGCCGATTACACTTGTATGTCTCTTTGTCAGCTTTACCACAGTTACATGTCAAGCCTGACAAGAACACCTATCGTGTAATAGGCACCTTATACGACACCTATGCCTTCGCGAAAACGCAAGACTCGCCAGACGTATATAATAATAACGATTGCCGCTTAAATAAACACTACTACTAGAATGTTCTGAGAAATGTTCAAAATATGAGAATTCATATACACCTTCGTCTATAACAGAAAGAGATTTTAATAATTGTAGGTAATTTAATCCCTTTATTCATAGAAACTAAAATCTACCATAAATTTATTTTAGCTATAGAACGGATTTGTCACTTTCTTTTAAACGGAGAAATTCTCCATTTAAAAGAATGTGACAAAACAGTTTTCCAGGAGAATGTAGCATAAAAGAAAGAGGCAAAACAGTTCTCCAGGAGAATGTAGCATAAAAGAAAGAGGCAAAACAGTTCTCCAGGAGAATGTAGCATAAAAGAAAGAGGCAAAACAGTTCTCCAGGAGAATGTAGCATAAAAGAAAGAGGCAAAACAGTTCTCCAGGAGAATGTAGCATAAAAGAAAGAGACAAAACAGTTCTCCAGGAGAATGTAGCATAAAAGAAAGAGACAAAACAGTTCTTCAGGAGAATGTAGCATAAAAGAAAGAGACAAAACAGTTCTCTAGGAGAATGTAGCATAAAAGAAAGAGACAAAACATTTCTCCAGGAGAATGTAGCATAAAAGAAAGAGACAAAACAGTTCTTCAGGAGAATGTAGCATAAAAGAAAGAGACAAAACAGTTCTCTAGGAGAATGTAGCATAAAAAAAGAGGCAAAACAGTTTTCCAGGAGAATGTAGCATAAAAGAAAGAGACAAAACAGTTCTCCAGGAGAATGTAGCATAAAAGAAAGTGACAAAACAGTTCAATAACTAAAATAGGTTTATACGAGGTTTAATGTTTTTATGAATAAGGGGGTTAATCTATAAAAGCATTATAAAGAGGAAAGATTTAATTTTTTGTACGTTTGTTTGCTTGTTTATTGTGAATAACCTATTAAAAACTATATATAGTAAAAACTACTTAACCGCTTTTAAAAATTCTTTCATACACAGTAAGCTACGTTATTAAGAGACAATTTAATATCTCTAGACGACACCAGGCAAAACTGCAGAACTCAGCCAGTAATTTGTATGATTATTTTCTATACTTCATTTCGTTATAAACGATCTATGTGTCCATTTTCATAGCCACAACATTTTTCTATTTGTGTCTGTCTGGTCTCCTCACAATCCTATAATTTCACTTTTGTTTAATATGCATACCGAGTTACTAAGGCGGCATAAATTAATGAGGGTGTGCAGAACGCACCCGCAAGGGACCGGTGCATCTGCTTCTAAATGTCAACCCGAACAAGCCCTCGCCTATAAATAATTTGAGGTGGTTGTAACGTCTCCGTCCCTGATCCGCAGGCACTCTCTCGATATGGCTTCGTGCAATAAAAATAGCCAACGGCCCATTGCCGTAGAAATTATTCTAACCGATACAACACGTGTATACCTAATTAAATAATACATCAAATGTTAATTAAATAAAATAACAGGTTTACGAAATGAACATGTGTGAAAAATAATAAAAATCGTACAAATAAAATTTACCTTGCGCCTGGCTGTGGTAATTCCATGCAAGCAACATCATTTTCAACTTCTCAGCGTCTTTCGCGAAGGCCTGACCTGCACCAGATCACATTCGCCAATCAATTTTAAAATTCAAATTTAGAATTTCGAAAACATTCTTTTGATCGATATAGAATTGCCAATTTCAATGTTCGGTATTTTATGCTAGTTTGTGTGTAAAATTTCTCTTTTTTTTTTATTGTTTTTTTAAATATTTTTATAGTTATATTCTGTTGTTTATTACGCATAAAATACCAATGAAAATGATTGATTTGATGCAAGTGGCTGGGCAATTGAATTGGTATATAATAATATATATGTATTTATGTATGTATTAAAATACTTACTGGAATAATTATCATCCTCATTCATATCTACTGGTTCCGGTGTTAGATTGTCCTGTAACAATAAAAAAAATTATATGTAAAATATTGAATATAGGTAAAAACAAAATAAATTGCTTTTGTTTTGTTTTTTCAACCTGGTAGATACGTACATATATGGTATGGTAAAAGTAAATTAAATTTCAATTTGTTTTTATATTGAATTATTTAATTTTACAGTATGTTTATTTTGAAACAATAAAAAAAAGACAATCAGGTCCAATTCTCAGTACAGATAAATTTTTTAGAAAATCTTTGGATTCTATACTTATTTAAAAACAGTGATCTATGAAATTTTGATAATAATAACTCGCGTATAATGCAGCTTCCTGTAGGTAATTTTATTTTAAAAATCACAAATAAACACTCAAATTTTCGTCTTTAAAATAATACAAGTATAGAAAACAGAATAACGTTCCCTTTGAAAAAAGGCATTTTCTCTGTTCCTTTTACGTCATTACTTTATTTGTGCAGCCCAGTTGTTACAGTTCTGTGAGTATATAAAAAAATAACCATAGCTACCAGGAAATCATACGATCAAGCAAGTATTAAGTAATTAATAAATTAGCGAAACGGCCACCGGGCCGTGCTGTCCGGGTCAACGCACTGGTCCGCGAACACAAATCGATAGTGCTTCAAATGGACAAGCCAACTAAATATAGCCTTAAACTATGTACAACATACATCATCCCCTAGTACATACATAGCTATCCTCTGTATCTTGAGACAACAAGAAACGCCAGGTGATTTACTAAGTTGGAAACGAGAGACCCACTCTTTCATTCCCAATTTAGTTCATCACCTGGCTTACTAAGTATTTTGTCAGTGAAACAAAATTAATTAAGTTTATTCCAATTATGTTTTACAACAATTTTATTCACAATATATGCAGGCGCCTTTTCTAATTGACTATAGTGGAATAGATTTTAAATTATCAACTAGTGCTGTTCCAAATGTTTGTCGATAATTACAAAAACAATATATATTTAAATACGCAATTAAACGTGATATATCTGTCCTAAATGAAGTATGAAGTTTAAATATATACTATCACTAACTATATTGGATATACAACTACATAAAAGACTAGGTAAGAGATAACAAATTCGATAAAAAAAAAATCAAGTGTTTCAATCTATAATAAATTACCGAAACAAAGGATTTCTTCTTTTACATATGAAATGTGTTGTCGCCGTGTGGTCTTGGCATAGAAAGGACCACTCCTTCCTTTCCTGTGGGTATCGCAAGAGGAAACTAAGAGAACTTAGTGGTCGAGGAATGGGCAGCAGTGTCCCTCTTTAAACATCACCAAAGCCAAACCGTGGTTGCTAATCCGCCTGCCAAGCGTGGCAACTACTAGCAAAACTCTCTTAATAGGGGGAGGCATATGATCAGCAGTGGACAGTTAACGGCTGATATGACAATGATATAAGGATATAGAATGTATTTATATTTATAGTAGATACTTTTCTTGCGAGTTTTTTTAAATGAAATCGACTAGTAATATATATAGTAATAGATACCTTAAATACATGGTTGGTGTCTTTTATTATTATGCATGCTATGTATTCTTTTTTCGTCTTTTTTTTAAATAACAATGCCACGAGTGAGTCGGCGAGATTAAAAGAATTCTAACTTTATTCCGATAGCTCTATTTTATAGTTCATATTTTTTATGTAACGTAGAATGACGAATAAGCTATCGGCCCACCTGAAGAAAAATAGTATCTATCATCTATAGACATGAACTGTATGGACATAACAAAGTGTAATGTGTTGATAATTATATTTATTCTGCTAATTAAGTATTAAGTTTGCCTTTCAAACTAAATACTTTATAGTTAAATTCTTAATTTGAAATAAACGCAACAATATTTAAAATGGCTTTGTTGAAGTTTTTACTATTCACGAATAATTCAGAAATAATAAAAAAAATCGATATTACCTCATATACACAGTCGCATCACTAGCCTTAGATAAATGTGCCAAAAGGCTAATTCGCATCGTAATAGGGCAGTATGACGCAAAACATTTCATCATCGGAAGCTAGAGGGCGCTTGTAATGACCGAATGACATCATGCGGAGACAAATTCCAACGTTCCCGGCATCCCCTAACCTTTGTTTAGAGTGTGGACGCATTCGTACGAAACGCACACATGCAAATTTAGGCAGAATGTTTGGAGGCGCTAAAATGCCCCTAATTTAATTTAAATTTAAAAATATACCGTTGTTTTTCCCAACAAAACTGGTATTTAATATATTTCGAAAGATAAAAGAATTCATTTCTTTTTTTTATCTTTGAACCTTTATCAAATGCAAAATTTTTACTAATTTTATAAATCAGATAGTGAATTTGTTTTGTTTGTTACCTTATAGCGCTTTAACGGGTTAACCATGTCAATCACCATGAAATTTGGTATACACGTACCAAATAGCATGGAGGATATAGGCTATTTATCCCGGTCAGTAGACGTAATAATAAATAACTTGAGTTTTTCCACAAAAAACTCCGACTTCAAGTCTGACAAAAGCATTTTTTTTTTTTATTAAGTTCTCCCTTTGAACCACATTTTCTTGTAGTCAATAAAGTTATTTATATAAATAAATAAAAAAAAAATCAAATCTGTTTATAAATGACAGACTTATAAGGCAACAAACATAAAAAAAATTACACCTAATTTGAGAAACCTTCTCCTTTTTTTTCATTTAGATGATAAATGATAGTAAAACCCTTAACATATTACGTAGTGCTGTCTATTCCAAATTAAGTTGAAATTATGCTATGCGTACTAGACAATTGTTATAAGTATAATACCTATTTTTTTCCTATATATATACTTACAATTACATGTACATATAAAAGATCCCAATTAATAATACAAACAGATTCATGTCTGTATATATTATTAATTGGGTCAAATGTTTGTATTCTGCAAGAATCGAATCCGCGACCATTGGATAATAACACGGTAAGATCGTCGAATTATAACATAATGTATATTCCAACGTCTTTAAAAAACATTCTCGCATAATTAATTAATAATACGACAAAAGAAACAAAGCGTTAAGGAAAGTTAGTTGAACGGAAAATTAAATAATTCCAACACAATGAAACTGCTACATTTTAGAGGCTATTTTATAGCCGGCATCGACTTACGAAAACATACGAAGATTTTCGTTCAACAAGTGGTCGCTCTGTCCGATGCAAAATATCATCAATTCTCCTGTAGACTGAGAGCTAACAATAAAGTTTTTCTTAATAGATATTTTTTATTTATTCTTTATTGCACGATAAATTTTGTACAAATGGTTTGTTTAATGCCGTGTGGCAATCTCTACCAGCCATTATAGAAAAACAGAAACACAAAAAACAGTTTGAGGGCAGTGGTGGCGAACATATATTATACAAAAAAAAAATCATAATTATTCTACTAATACGAGTATAATAAAATTTTAACTAAACAATAATTTTTAGAAATTTTGTTTATCTATCTGTCTATCCGTATGTTTGTTCTAGCACCATGCAAAAACTACTCTGCTAAATTGGATGCAGTCTTCATAGACATGTTCTAACTTAAAACTTACAATGGCAAACAAGCTGACGGTCCACCTGATGGAAAGTGGTAACCGTCGCCTATAGACATGGACAGTACCAAGGACATAACAGAGTATACTGTGTCGTCAATGATACCTCTTACGTGTTGCCATTCCTGAGAACTAAGGTTCAAAACCGAAACGCAGCCGTGCAAACATTGCTTCACAGCAGAAACACAAATGAGACACAGGTACCTGAGCACACAACTTTTATACAAAATCTCCTCTGGAAAACATAATTACGTTTTAATTTATAGCCATGATTCATTTCTCTTATGATAAAAGTTGTGAAGTTTTATTTGATTCGAGATCTCTGACTATTTAAGGAAGGCAAGAGAAAAATGTTTCATTCATATTTATTGAATCGCGGTGACGAAATGTCGACTTTTCTTTTTCAGTATAAATTTTTTCACAACGAAATAAATTTTCTTTAGTTTTATTAAAATGCTTGTTTGACGTATATTTATTTGTAAGCTTATTTTTCATACAAATGATGACAATATTAGGAATGGCTTCACATAATTAATGAATAATACCTTTCTGTTGTTTTAGCTATTTATTTTATTTATTTATTTATTCTTTATTACTCATTATTTCAACTGTTTATTCTGCACTTTGAAAAGATATATATGTACGTTTTTTTTATTAACAAAGCTTTCAGGTAATTTCTATGTTATACCATCATATCAACCTTTAACTGTCCATTGCTGAACATAAGCCTCCCACTTGAGGAGTTTTGTCAGTAGTTGCCACGCTTGGCAGGCGGATTGGCAACTGCAGTTAGGTTTTAATGATGTTTTAAGAGGGACGTTACTACTCATCCCTTTGTTATATAAAATTGATTAATTTAGACACACAATAAATAGGAAATTCGTTGTCCTCTGCATTTTGACCTTGTACTTGTTAATGATTAATGACACCTCCGGTAAATAATGTTTTTATAACGATGCCAATATGCCATTAAATTGAGTGAAACATTCAGTATTAGTAAGTAACCTTTGCTTGACTACACGTTGTTCAATGAGAATGCATGAATGCATCACTGCACCTTATCTGTCATTGAGCGATAATTAATTACGGAGTAAATTGCAATAGTATCCACATATAACGACAAGTACTAGGCGTACATAGCGCGAGAAGGGTCAACGGATATTTAGTGTCCGCATAGCAGATGCGGTCCTTGGCCACCGCCCTCAAGACGGTCGATATCTTGCTTGTCACCCCACCTAACTCCGAACTGGCTATGTGCACCTGGCCTTGTACTTAGCTAGCTATACTATAAGTACTTAGTTATGCGTGTGCAATTTTAGTACTTTACAAAAATAGTGTTGTAGAAATTATTGGCTAGTTATCGATAATAATAATAACAAACAGTACGATTACGAAATACACATATTATTACTAGCTATATTCCTCGACTTC